GCCAGGTGTGCCAGCTACGGGGAACCAATCGGGGCACTAGGCGCCTGGGGCCCTGGCCCCAAGGAGTTCAGGATCTTGAATTCCCCTGAAGCGAAGTGCCGAGCATTCTGTGAGAAGGGCGGCTCTTCCAGGGAGTGCAAATCACCGGCGCCGATGGACAATTTGTGACATCCTGAGGAGTCGGAGAACAAATGAGAGCTCAGAGAAAAGAGGGCCCTGCGCATGCTCCAGATTTGGAGCCAAGAGTGAGGGGGCGGGCGCGGGCGACGCGGGCGTCGAGCCAGCAGACCTCGTGGCCCTCACGAATACAAAAGAAGCCTGGAACGAATGCAAAAAAAACCCGCCGCAGGCGCCGAAAATTTTGGGTGGGTCGCGGGGTGGGTCGCGGATGGGTCGCGGGTGGGTCGCGGTGGGTCGCAGGTGGGTCGCGGGGTGGGTCGCGTGTGGGTCTCGGGGCGGGTCGCGGGTGGGTCGCGGGTGGGTCGGGTCGCGGGCTCTCCACCTCCACCTGGAGAGAATTCAAAAACAGCCCGCCGCAGGCGCCGAAAATTTTGATTTGTACACTGCACGCGGTTTGGGTCGCGGGTGGGTCGCGGGTTCTCCACCTGGAGCTACTTGGAACGAGTGCAGAAGAAACCCGCTGCAGGCGCCGAAAATTTTGGGTGGGTTGCGGGGTGGGTCGCGGGTGGGTCGCGGGTGGGTCGCGGTGGGTCGCGGGTGGGTCGCGGGTGGGTCGCTGGGGGGGTCTCGGGGTGGGTCGCGGGTGGGTCGCGGGTGGGTCGGCGGTGGGTCGCGGGTGGGTCGCTGGGGGGGTCTCGGGGTGGGTCGCGGGCGTGTCGCGGGTGGGTCGCAGGTGGGTCACGGGTGGGTCGCGGGTGGGTCGCGGGGTGGGTCGCGGGTGGGACGACGACAACAACAAACAACCAACAACAACAAGAATCCGCATCGCGGAATTCCACTTCAGCCACGCACCCGGGGACAGTGAATGACCGTTCGGTTCAGCCCCCCTCACTCTGACGTATTGTTTTTTGACAGGGGTGGTTGGCCTGCGCGCAGCAAGCAATATGCAGGCTCCCCCGCCGTCCCTGTCAAAGACCAATGCAAAGTGGTCGCGGGGCGCCCGCGCATGCGCCAAATTTGGAGAGTGCATCTTGTATTGTTTTTGCAACGGGTGGCGGGGGGGAGGAGCTCATTGGTCCGAGTTGGCTGCCTGTCGCCTGGGGGAGGGGGTGTTTATGAATAGGGAATAGTTATAAACCCCTCCCCGAAGGGGGGCCATCTTGAGGCCATCTTGGAGGAGATCGATCAAAGGAGTGGAGCTCCTCCATGAGGGCCCCTCCCCAAGAGGCCGAACCGTGGCCAAAACTTTGGTAACATCAGTGATTTTGGCCTCCTCGCCGAGGCCGCTTTGGACGCTCTGACCTCTGGCGACCCCCCTCTCCAGGGGGAGGGGGTGGGGGGAGGGGCGAACCCCTCTCCGAAGGGGAAGAAGGGGGGTTGGAAGAGGACGCTCGGCAGACCGCTCCCGCCCTAAAGGGCTGGCGGGATTCGACGCCGAGAGGCTCGCGGTGGCCACGAGCGCCCCCTCGTTCCTCGATCCGCATCCCTGATGGTGTCGCGGCGTCTGTAAGCCCAGCCTTGCGCAGCTCCGCGCGGACTTCTCGGGTCTGCGCCGGGGCCCCCCCGGCGGCGCCTCCGGCGCCGATGCGAGGAATCCCGCGCGGAGCTCCGAAAGTCCAGGTTCGTGCAGCGTTGGTTTTTTCCCCCTCGGAGGACGTGTCGGCCAGCGCGCAGCAGCCCGACCAGCAGGCCGAGCCTCCCCTTCCCCCTCCTCTTGGTGGCGCGTGGCGTGCCGTTGCCCAGTCTTGGCATGTGTGCTTTTGCGGCAGGCGGTATCTTGCTCGAGGCGCCCGCCCTGCTCGTCTGGAGTCGTCTTCAGTAGTCTGTGGGCTGATCCCTGGTGCGGCAGTTCATCCCCTACTGCTGGCACGCACAGCCCAGACCCCCCCCGGGGGCCATTCAAAAAATCACGACGGAAGTTTTTTCGCCATTTTCAGCCCTTGGGGGCCCCTACCAGGCCTCGGGACCTTCAAGAAACGAGTCGGGATGAGAAATTAGTCCTGGGGGATGGCCCGAGACCTTTGGGGGTCGACGTCGTGAACAAACTCATGACGTCGGGGGGTCTGGGAAAGGGGGGATGGCGCGATGGCTGCGGTCTTCGAAGAAGGCCAGGGGGCTTTTGAAGAAGGCATGGGGGGGCCCGGAGGCCACCGGGCAGGCCCCTCGAGAGCTGGGAGGGCCTTTGAGAAGCCTCCTGCCTCCTTGCCTCGAGCATACCGTACAGCACGCCGGCATCCACCTCCAGGACCTTCCTCCCCCCTCCCTGCCCTCTCACAACTTTTCATGCATGTGTCTCACATTGCATGTTGTCCAGGCACGCCAGATTTCTGAGGCCAAGGCCTTGCCCACCTGGTCTCTGGGCCCAGACGATGTCCGCAGCGGTGGTCATGTCGTATCGTATCGCATCGCATCGTACCTGCCTCCTTGCTCGGATGCTCCAGCGCCTCCCCGGGAGGCCGCCCCACTCGCGCCCCCACCCGTGTGCGCGCCGCCGATCCTGTCGCATGCAACTCCTGGGAAGCGAAGCTCGGCATCGGCGCCGGCAGATCCGTGGTCGAAAACCGGCCCCAGCCGGCAGGATCCGTTGTAATTCCGCGTGCTCCTACTTAATCCAGCCTCATTGGGCTCAACTCTCCGGGGTTATTCTGGCCGAGCTCGGATCAATGGCCGAATTCGGCTCAATGGCTCTGCATCCGGGCTTGATAGCCCTTGATCGTTCTTGCGAAGGCCTCCCAGGGGTTGCTTCCCGAAATCCTCTTTCCCGTGGGCGGACAACATATACGTATCCGCGGCCTCGCGGGCTGGTCCGCGATCCCGCGGATATGGGGCGTTTTTTCGCGGATGCCCCGCGCGGAACGTGCCCGTGCGAACGCGTATCCGCGGGCTCGCGCCCCAGAGTGCAGACCGCGAGGGCGTGGATTTAGATATGTTCGCCGCTCGTGATCTTCCTCCCTCGCCCCCCCCTCCCTCCCCTCGAGGCCCCGGGCGCAGGGGACGCCGCCATGGAGGCGGAGCAGGCGTCAGCGCTGCGCGGCGCGGGCGCCGATGTGGAGGCCGGCGGGGGGCCCAGGGGGCGCAGGGGGCCAGCGCCGTGCAGGCAAGGTGGTCCCTTCGGAGGTCGATACCGAGCCCCCCCGAAGCACTGGCGCCGAGGTTCGAGGTTCGAGGTTCTGGGTCGAGGAGGGGGGGGCGGGGTTCGAGGTTCTGGGTTCGAGGAGGTCTCTTGCCCTCTTCGGTCCCAGGGGGGGCAGCTTTCGGGCCCCAGGACCATCAAAAAAACGGCTCCGAGGTTAAACAAATTGCACCAGGCAGACCCCGAGAGGGGTCTGGGGACCGATCTCGGGCGGATTTGCCTCCATCCCCTCCGCTGGACCGATATTCCCGTGGTCCAAGCAGCTCAGGTCTCCTGGCCCCCTCCGAGAGCCCCCGCCCTGACAAGTGGTTTCGCGATTTGGCCTTGGTAGGTTTTCGCGAGGAGTGAGCGGTCGCAGCTTTTGCGGGCCTGCCACCGCCAGGTCTGGCGGCGTGTCGTTTTCACTGTGGGGTGTCTTGCTGAAGAGGATTCTGTCCACCCCGAATCCTCGAATACCAGGAAGCGGCACAATCATGCACTTTCGGAGCTCCGCGTGGATTTCTTGGGTTGGCGCTGGACCCCCCCCCCTGGCGCGCGGAGCGCGCCATGCGCGTCGCCGGAGGCGCCAGCCGCATTCTGTTCTTATAGATCCGGAGGGAAGCCCGATGAAACCGAAGAACTCTCAAGTTGTGACTGCGCAGTCTTCTACCCTGTCTGGCTCCTAGACCGTGTCGAGAGACTTCCAGTTTCGAGCCTTGGCGGCCACGGAGCGCGCAACAGATGCTTGCGTGCACACCTGTCTGCAGCACACCCCGCGACGATGTATTCGCAATTGTGCGCTGTACGACGTGGCAGCGTTTTCGGCCTCCCTGGGGCCTCCACGGGACCCGGTGCCATCAAAAACGACTCAGGGTGGAATGCCAGAGTTGGGGGAAGGCCCCAGGGTCCAGGACCCGCTTGGCGACCGAGCTCGCTATCAGGAGGAGGAGGAGGAGGAGGAGGAGGAGGACGAGGAGGAGGAGGAGGAGGAGGAGGAGGAGGAGGAGGAGGAGGAAGAGGAGGAGGAGGAGGAGGAGGAGGAGGAGGAGGAGGGGGAGGAGGAGGAGGAGGAGGAGGAGGAGGATGAGGGGGAGGGGACGGAGGAGGAGGAGGAGGAGGAGGAGGAGGAGGAGGAGGAGGAGGAGGAGGAGGAGGAGGAGGACCAGTGTAAACCCAAGAGCCATCAACGATGTTGGAATACATCCTCCCTCCGAGCTCCCTCTTCTTAGGCCCCTACAACGGTTCATTTCCATTGAGGGATCTGCCTCGTTTGAAGACAACCGTTTGAAGACCCGGAAGCATTCTAAAACATTGTTCTCGGGATTCCAACGCCACATATCAACCTGACTGTTGCGTCTTGACGATCCTAGATCGTGCCAGAACGCCATTCTTGGGATTTCAACACCGCGAATCAACGTAACTGTTGCACCCGCAAAATCCCGAACCCTTCCAAAACACAATTTCTGGTAAGTTGATCGCGGGATGCCGTGAAACTCTTGCAACTGTTTCAAACGAATGTGCGCGGCGCTACAGCGAGAGCCACATTTTGAAAAGGAACTGCCCTCAATCCGTGAAATTCCTGTAATTTTTTGAAGCTAATGTGCGCGGCGCTAAGGCGAGAGCCATATTTTGGAAAGGAGCCGCCATCAAGCCGTGAAACTCTTGCAGATGTTTGAAAACGAAGGTGCGCAGCGCTAAGGCGACAGTCACGCTTTGAAAACGGTTCATCCTCATTTCGTGAAGCCCTTGCAACTTTTTAAAACGAATGTGCCGGGCGCTAAGGCGAGAGCCACATATTGAAAACCACCCGCCCTCCATTTGTGAACCTGTCCCAAATTCTAAGCTTCAGAGCTAGACATGGTGAGGACGTCTCAGGCGAAACGCTCGACCCGCCCTAAAGCCAGCCTCGAAGTGCGACAGGGAGAAGTTATTTATAAGGAGAAGGATTGGAGGAGGAGGAGGAGGAGGAGGAGGAGGAGGAGGAGGAGGAGGAGGAGGAGGAGGAAGGGAGGAGGAGGAGGAGGAGGAGGAGGAGGAGGAGAGGAGGGGGGAGGGAGGGGGCGGAGAAGGAGGAGGAGGAGGAATAAGGTCAGGAGGAGGAGAAGGAGGAAGAGGAGGAGGGGCAGGAAGAGTAGGAGGAGGAAGGGAGGAGGGGGAAGAGGAGAACGAGAAGGAGAAGGAGTAGGAGGACAAGGAGGAGGAGGAGGAGGAGGAGGAGGAGGAGGAGGAGGGGGAGGAGGAGGAGGAGGAGGAGGAGGAGGAGGAGGAGGAGGAGGAGGAGGAGGAGGAGGAGGAGGATATGGACAAATAGCTCCATATGGCGCGTTCCAGAGATGGCCTTGCCGTCAGTGCGTCTGGCTCTCGGCAGAAGGCAGAGGAAGGCCAGCGGAAGTAAAGTGGGGGCGGCTCCGCGGGCGGAAGCCAGCGGATTGTCGGCAGAAGGCGGCGGGACTAAGAGTGAGGCGTCAACTTCTAGCCAGCTGGGGGCCTGAGGTGGCCCAGCATTGGTTCCGACCTAGCATTGGTTCCGATCAGCAGGAAGGGGGGGCGAGGTTCGAGGTTCTGGTTTCGAGAAGGTTTTTACCTAACATCTTTTGCTGATAGGTTTCTAGTGGGGTCAAAAGAGAGCATCTTGACGCCCCAGGGGGGTCTGGGCGGGAACCGGACAGGGGATCCGGACAGATCCGGCAACCCCAGGAATCTTTAGGAATCCTTAGGACTTCTTAGGAATCCTAGGAATACATTCCCAGAACACCATTCCCAGGCCACATTTTGAATGCCCGGAGCCAACTGTAGGCCACTTCGTGTTCTTCGTGTTCCCAGAACACCATTCCCAGGCCACATTCTGAATGCCCAGAGCCAACTGTAGGCCACTTCGTGTTCTTCGTGTTCCCAGAACACCATTCCCAGGCCACATTTTGAATGCCCGGAGCCAACCATAGGCCACTTCGTGATCTTCGTGTTCCCAGAGCACCATTCCCAGGCTACATTTTGAATGCCCGAAGCCAGCTGTAGGCCACTTCGTGTTCTTCGTGTTCCCAGAACACCATTCCTGTACCATATTTTGATTGCCCAGAGCCAACTGTGGGCCACTTCGTGATTCTTAGGCTTACGCCACACCGCCGACCCCTTGTTTATGCCAATCTGGGGGTAGTAGAAGCTGCGAAGGGGTGAAAAGGCGAGTGATATTTGTTTGGTGTCTGTTCGCCGCCACCGCCAGAGGGTCTCGGGCAGTTCCGCGGGGGGGTCCGAGCGCACGGCGACACCGCGGGCGGTCGTGGTCTCATCTGGGGCCATCTGAGAGGCATAATGGAGCCAGGTTGGGCTCGGGAATGTCTTCGAGCCGTTTCGGTAGCGGTCGGGAGTTTTTTTGGGGGACTGGCCGGGATCTCGCGGATCGCTTCTCGGGGGCCTCTGGAAGCGAGTTTTGGAGCCACTTGGGGGCCGTTTCGGAGCCTCTGGGGTGCTTCTTGGGGGTTCCTTGGGGCGTCTGGGCGGCCTCGTGAGGGCCTCTGGGGGCCTCTTGGGGCACTCTTGGGGCCCCCTGGGGCTCCTGGGGGCAGAAAGCTAGAGTTTCAACATGTTTGGTCGCCCTCTTGGGCCCCTCTTGGTGCCGTCTTGGAGCCCTCTTGGGCCGTCTTGGGGACCTCTTGGGCCGTGTTGGGGCCGTCTTGGGCCGTCTGGAGGCCGTCTTGGGGGCCTCTTGGGCCATCTTGGGGCTGTCTTTGGGGCCTCTTTGGCCGTCTTGGAGCGTCGGGAAGCCGAAAAGGCGGAAAAGCAAAAAACATCGAAAAACACTATGGAAAATCAACAATTTTAGACTCTTGGGGCCCTCTTGGGAGGCTTGTTTGGGACCTCGGGGGCCGTCTTGGAGACCTCTTGGCCCGTCTTGGGGCCATCTTGGGCGTCTTGGAGCGGTCGTTTGGCGTCTCGGGGCCTTCGTGGGCCGTCTTGGAGGCCTCTTGGGGGCTTCTTGGCCCGTCTTGAGGCCCTCTTGGGCCCGGAAAAGCCCCGTGAACCGCTCGTCCCGGCCGTGCTGCGCTCGTCCCGGACCCCCCCCCCCCCTCCAAATCGACCGGACCGGGCTCCCGGGGGAGGGGTTTGGGGAGGGGGAAGCATCTCACACGCCGATGATCCCCAAGGGGTCGGCGGATCTTCGTGTTCACTTCGTGTTCCCAGAACACCATTCCTGTACCATATTTTGATTGCCCGGAGCCAACTGTGGGCCACTTCGTGATCTTCGTGTTCCCAGAACACGAGTGCTGTGCCATATTTTGAATGCCCGAGCTGAGGCAGGCTGAGGCCGAGGCAGGCTGAGGCCGAGGCAGGCTGAGGCTGAGGCTGAGGCACGCCGAGGCTGAGGCTAAGGCTGAGGCTGAGGCTGAGGCTGAGGCTGAGGCAGGCTGAGGCTGAGGCCAGGAGGCTGAGGCTGACGCAGGCTGAGGCTGAGGCAGGCTGAGGCTGAGGCTGAGGCTGAGGCTGAGGCTGAGGCTGAGGCTGAGGCCGAGGCTGAAGGCTGAGGCTGAGGCTGCAGGCTGAGGCTGAGGCTGAGGAGGCTGAGGCTGAGGCTGCAGGCTGAGGCTGAGGCTGCAGGCTGAGGCTGAGGCTGAGGCGAGGCTGAGGCTGAGGCTGAGGCTGAGGCTGCAGAGGCTGAGGGCTGAGGCTGAGGCTGAGGCTGAGGCCGAGGCTGAGACTGAGGCTGAGGCAGGCTGAGGCTGAGAGGCTGACGCTGAGGCTGAGGCAGGCTGAGGCAGGCTGAGGCTGAGGCAAGCTGCGGCTGAGGCAGGCTGAGGCTGAGGCTGATGCAGGCTGAGGCTGAGGCAGGCTGAGGCTGAGGCTGAGGCAGGCTGAGGCTGACAGATATGCTTATACACATCGCTGTTAGGTTGCTTTGCCGGGATTTTTTTTTTTTTTTTTTTTTTTTTTTTTTTTTTTTTTTTTTTTTTTTTTTTTTTTTTTTTTTTTTTGTTTTTTTTTTCTCCTGGTTCCCAAAGGCCGTTTTCGGGCCCCAGGACCGTCAAACACGGACCCGGGGTAGACCCTGGCAGGAGTTTGGTGGCCGATTTTGAGCAGATTTTCCTTCTGGCCGGTTTTCTCGTGGCCCAAGCAGCTCAAACCCCTCCCGGCAGCCCCCAAGCGTCAACACTTTTGGGCGCAGGGCTTTCGGAGTGGGCCATATAGGCAGAGGCCATTGACATATGCACGTGGTGAGCTTCTGCTGGTCTGCGATGGAGCGCAGTCGGTCATGCATGTGGGGCCGCGGAGGGCGTACATGTACATACGCAGGTCTTTTCTCGCTCGCATCTGGAGGGAGAGGTACTGGGAGTGCTCTGGATCCCCGCCATCTTCGTCTGCCTTCCCTCCTTCGATGCTCGTCATGGGAACCTTTCTGGGGCCTACCTACAGGATCTGTTCGACTCTGGTCTTCCTCGAGGTCGACTCTACGTTGGCTCAGGTTCGACTCAAGTCGACGGACGTTCGACGCATCATCGACGCACGAGGTGATCGAGTGGCTCCAGGAAGGTCCCCAGAACGAGCATCTGACCCTCCTCTCCCTCCTCCCGGCTCCTCTGCCCCTCCTCCCCATCCCCACGCGGGGCAGGCCAATTCCACCGCGGAGGAGCCCGCGCAGCAGACAGAGACCGCCACGGTGGAGTCCGACACCTCGGAGGAGCCGCTGCCGGTGGTCGACCCGGACGGGCAGGAGGTCGACATCGTGTCAGAGGACCTCGGAGGTGGAAACGGTACCGATGCCGCTGCGAGATTGTTTTTCACCCTCTGGCGCGTAACGGTCGCCACTCGGGGACAGCTTGGGCCATTTTGGGGCTGCTTTGGGCGTCATCCTGAGGCTTCTGGGTGTGACTTTTGGGGAGCGTGGGGGCAGTCGTCCGGGGAGCTTTGGGGACCGTGCTGTGGCGGCCTTTTTCATTTCCATGACCGTCCTGGAGCCCTTTGGGGCCCCGTCGGGCCGTGGCGTCCCCGGGTAACGGTCAATATCGTATGCAGGGGGCGGGGGTATGGCGATCGCAGGGCGCCCTCCCCCACCGACGTGCCCCCCCCCTGTCCAAGCGTTACCGTTACCGGGGGCTCCCCCCCTATGCCCCCTCCCCCCCATTCAACGACCGTCGCTGGAAATAGTATTTCTACCCGTCCCCTGTCTTCGGCTTCTTCTGCCTCGTTGGGCCTCCTGGGAGGCCCTCGTCGCTACGGCTGGATTCGCTTCGAAACTCTGGTCAGAACGCACTCTGGGAGAGGTCCTGGGAGCACCCAGAGATCCGACGTCCCGAAAGGTTTGGACATTGCAACAAAAACGCCCAGAGCTCTGGACGCAATCTTTGTGCAGCATTTTTCGAGCCAGGTCGATCCGTGAAAAATCCCAGGGGAAAATCGCCAGTTGTGAAACAAATGCGACGACAGGATTTCACAGGAGCCTCCTCGAAATCCTGATGAAAATGATCCTGGGAGAGGTCCTGGCCGGGGCGTAGCGATATCGGTATCTTTTCTCAAGAGGATATGGCGTCGATCGCGCAGCAGCGGGCGGCCGCCAAGGAGCAGGAGGACCTGAGGGCCATGGTCGAGCGGCTGAAGGCAGAGAACGCCGCGCTGAAGAGCGGTGCCGCCGTCGTGCAGCCGGCGCCAGAGGTCGCTCCTCCTCGGCGTCGTCTTCGTTGTCGTCGTCGTCGTCGTCGTCGTCGTCGTCGTTGTCATCGTCCTCCTCCTCCTCCTCCTCCTCCTCCTCCTCCTCCTCCTCCCGCTGCCGTAGGGCTTCGGAGTCCATGGCCAGACGCAGCCCTCCCCCCTCCCAGGCGCCCTTCGCCGTCGGGGGGCGGATGTCAGCCCGTGTCTGCCGCGGGGGAGGGAGGGAGGGGGGGGACGGAGAACAATTCTTACTGTGGTTGCCTCCTCCTCCTCCTTCTCCTCCCTCCTCCTCCTCCTCCCCTCCTCACCCCTTTTCCTCCTCCTCCTCCTCCTCCTTCTCCTCCCTCCTCCTTCTCCTCTTGACGGCCAGGAAGGAGCCTTTGCTTAGCGTGTCGCGCCGCCGGTTCTGGCCAGCCACGCCTCGGCGCGGCACGCCAGCCACGTCCTGGTCCCTCAGGTGTCAACCTTTCTCGAGCTTTCCGAAGCCTCCCCTCCCGCGGAGCGGAGCCACGCGCTGACAGCTGGTTGGGCATGGCGCGTCATGGGGGCCCCCGCTGCGACATGCTAAGCAAGAGTTCCTGACTGTAGTGGCGTGCTTCTCCTCCTCCTCCTCCTCCTCCTCCTCCTCCTCCCTCCCCAAACGGCCGACGTCGTGTTTTTTTTCGCAGCGCGGATCGCCGGAGGTCCCGACCTACTCCCCAGGAGCAGCTTTTCAACCAAAAAGATATGCGCCGTGACGTTTCATTCTCGCATCGAGAGGATGCCGTTTTCCTCGGCCAGCGCCTGCTTGCATTGTTTGGGGTCCAGCTCTGTTTTTTCATGTGTCTAGCTGTGTGCCGTCTCTCCTCTCACAGGCTTCACGCTTCATCGACAAGTCATTCGTTGAAGACAAATCAAACAACATACAAAACATCCATCCCTCGCAATTCAAAGAAGCCCTCCCTCCCTCCTGAGGCCTCCGAACCGCCGAGCGCCGAGCCGGCCGACCAGCAGGCCGTAGCCGAGCTGGAGCCGCCGCCGCAGCCACAGGCCAACGCCACCGCCGACGAGGAGACCGCGGCCGCAGCGCCCGCCAGCTCCGCGGTGGTGAACGAAGAAACGACTGCGTGAGCATAAACTTTCGGAGCTGCCGGCGCCTCCAGCGCCGCCCCTGGCGCGCCCCGCGCGCCAGGGAGGGGGGGGGGCCCCAGCGCCGATCCAAGAAATCCGCGCGTAGCTCCAAAAGTTGATGTCTTGCTTTAAACGAGAAAAAGTGGTAGATAAGGTATACACATACATATTCTTGTGCATATATAGTTATGTTTATACGCTTGTTGACACACACGCACACGCACACACATACATATATATATATACATGCATATATCTATATTATTCCCGATATACGCATGTATGTATTGTATGTCTTTAGGTCGGCATATATGCTTGTACTTATGTATGTAAACATGCATGCATGCATGCATATGCATGTCTGTATGTATGTTTGTGTGTATGCATGTATGTATGTATGTATATATCTATAGATGCAGGTCTGTTTGTATTGCTGTACATATGTATGTATATATTAATGTGCGTGTATGTATATATATATATATATGTATGCATACATATATATATATATATAGGTGTGTATATGTACGGGTACATGCATGCATGCCTGCCTGCATGCATGTATGCATGCATGTATATCAGCCTGTCTGCCTGTATGTATGTATGCATGCACGCATGTATGCATATATGTTTGTGTGTATATGTATGCATGCATGGATGTCTGGATTGGCGCATGTATGTATGTATGTAAGTAAGTAAGTATGTATATATACATATATATATATATATATGTTCATGCATGCATTTGTCTATCTGTCTGTCTGTCTGTCTGTCTGTCTGTGTATGCATGTATGTATGCATGCATGCATGCAATTATGTATGCATGTATGTATGTATGTATGTTTGTGTGTATGTATATATATATATATATATATATATGTGTATGTATGCATGTATACGTGTACATACACATGTAGTCATGCCTGCATGCATGCATGTATGGATGTCTGTCTGTATGCCTGTATGTACGTATGTATGTATGTATTTATGCATGTCTGTCTGTCTGTCTGTCTGTCTGTCTGTCTGTCTGTCTGTCTGTATGTATCTATGTATGTATGCATACATGCATGTATGTATGAATCTATGTATGTATGTGTGTCTGTATGTATGTATTTCATACATATTTATATACATACATACATATGTATATACAGTGTCGCTTTTTGCTTCTCCAGGCGGGAGGGGAGGCGCCACGTCCCGAGTCCGCCGTGGCGAAGCCGGCCGACCAGCAGGCCGTAGCCGAGCTGGAGCCGCCGCCGCAGCCGGAGGCCAACGCCACCGCCGACGAGGAGACCGCGGCCGCAGCGCCCGCCAGCTCCGCGGTGGTGAACGAAGAAACGACGACGTGAGCATAAACTTTCGGCGCTGCCGGCGCCTCCAGCGCCGCCCCTGGCGCGCCGCGCGCGCCAGGGAGGGAGGGGGGCCCCAGCGCCGATCCAAGAAATCCACGCGGAGCTCCGAAAGTTGATGTTTTCCTGTATGTGTATATATATATATATCTATAATATGTGCTCGCACCCCCTCCCAAGATCTACCTTTTCCGTGCCCTGTTCCAGTCTTCCCCTCCACCTTTCTTCCTCATCCTCCTCCTTCTTGTCTTCGTGCGCTTCCTCTGGGTCGCGCTTCGGCGCGTCTCCACTGGGACGCACTCGTGCGCTTCCTCTGGGTCGTGTTTCGGCCTGAACTGAAGAGGGAACTTGAAAAGGTTCTCTTGACCGCTTGTGCCTGCGCTGGAGGGTGAAACTGAAAAGGTTCACTCTCCAGCCGCGGGAACGGGAACCTGAAAAGGTTCTCGTTCCCGCTTGTCCTTGCGCCGGAAAGTGAACCTGCAAAGGTTCACTCTCTAGCCGCGGGAACGGGAACCTGAAAAGCTGCCTGCGCTGGAGGGTGAACCTGAAAAGATTCACTCTCTAGCCGCGGGAACGGGTTGGGGAGCAGGAGAACCTGTGATTTCATCGGTTTTCTAGTTTTTCTGGTTTGGGGAGCAGGAAAACATGTGCTTTCGTTGGTTTTTCTGTTTTTTTCTGGTCTGAAGGGCATCGTTGTTTTGGTATGGTTGGTTTTTTCATATTTGATTCCCAAACTAGAACAATCAGAAACATCAATGAAAGCACATGTTTTCCTGTTCCCCAAATCAGGAAAAAAAACCAGAAGAACCACTGAAATCACATGTTTCCCTGCCCCCCAAGAGCTAGAAAAACCAGAACAACAAATGAAATCACAGGTTTTCCTGCTCCCCAAACCAGAAAAACCAGAGATACCAGTGAAATCACAGCTTTTCCTTCAAGCGGCGAGGAAGATGCGAGGAGAGAGAGAGAGAGAGAGAGAGAGACAATTCGAGCGTTCATTTTCAAAACCGCCACACTCGTTCCTCAACCCGCCAAAAGGAACGATGAGGATGGAGGACAACGGGGGGAAAAAAGAGGATGAGGGAGAAATGAGGAGGAGGAGGAGGAGGAGGAGAAGACTGCGGGAACGGGAACCTGAAAAGGTTCTCGTTCCCGCTTGTGCTTGCGCTGGAGGGTGAACCTGCAAAGGTTCACTCTCTAGCCGCGGGAACGGGTTGGGGAGCAGGAGAACCTGTGATTTCATTGGTTTTTTTAGTTTTCTTTTTTGGTTTTGGGAGCAGGGAAACATGTGATTTCACTTTTTTTTGGGGGGTGGGGGGGGGGTTCTGGTCTGAAGGGTATCGTTGTTTTGGTATGGTTGCTTTTTCTTATTTGATTCCCGTACCAGAAAACCAAGAAGACCAATGGCATCATATGTTGTCCTGCTCTCCAAACCAGAACAGCCAGACAAAAACAACAATCACATCACATGTTTTCCTGCTCCCCAAACAAGAAAAACCAAACCAACACACATAATCAAGGTTTTCCTGCTCCCCGAGAGCTAGAAAAAACCATAACAACACATGAAGTCACAGGTTTTCCTGCTCCCCAAACCAGAACAACCAGAAGCACCAGTGACATCACAGCTTTTCCTTCAAGCGGCGAGGAAGATGCGAGGAGAGAGAGAGCGAGAGAGAGAGACAATTCGAGCGTTCATTTGCAAAAGCGCCAAACTCGCTCCTCAACCCGCCACAAGGAACGATGAGGATGGAGGACAACGGAGGGGAAAGAAGATGATGAGGAAGAGAGGATGAGGAGGAGAAGACTGGAACACGGCACGGAAACGGTAGAACTTGGGGGGCGACCATATATGTACATGTGCAGATCTTCCGTTATACATTTAGATGTTTATACACGTTCATATTTGTTCGCTATATATACACATATATACGTATGCCCGATGTCTGTACGTATGTATATTGGCATTTGCGCACGTATGCTTGAAAACTTAAATGTATACACGTATGTATGTTTGTAAGCTGTATGTATATATGCGGGTATGTATGTATGTACGTACGTCTGTATGTGTGTATGCATGTACGTATGTATGTGTGTATGTATGCATGTCGGCATGCATGCATGCATGCATGCATGCATGCATGCATGCATGTATGTATGTATGTATGTATGTATGTATGTATGTATGTATGTATGTATGTGTGTGTATGTAGGTATGCATGCATGTATGTATGTATGTACGTCTGTATGTACGTCTGTGAGTCTGTACGTATGCATGCATGTCTCTATGTATGGTTTTATGATGTCTTTTGTATACGCAGGCGTGCATGCATATCTGTATGTATGTCTGTATGTGTGTATGTATTTACATGTACAGACCGATGTCTCTCTCTCTCTCTCTCTCTGTATATATATATATATATTGTCGCCTTTTGCTCGTCCAGGCGGGAGAGGCGGCGCCACGACCCGAGGCCGCCGTGGCGGAGGAGGGGAAGGCCTCCCAAAGTGGGCCCGAGCGGGTCGCGGCCCCGAGAAGCTGGAGTTTTTTTGTTTTCGGCGGCCTTCCAGCCTCGGACGGCACAGTACAAGAAAACCGTGTGGAAGGGAATGGTCAAGCGACAGATCTTTGATACCTGAATGCTGTGACTGTAACCTTGATTCTTTTCCGCGGCGGCTAGGGCAGACGTCTCCTTGGCCGTCGCGCCAGTACTGCAGCCGATGTGTCGTAGAGACACGGCGTTTCAGTTCAGTTCAGTTCCAGCCTCGGGATGCCTTTTCTGGAGGGGCATGCTGCGTGAAGCCAAGGGTGCTTCGTCCCAGAGAGCTGTTCCCGGAAGTCCCTGAAGTCTTCTGCCCCGAGGGGCGAGAGCAACTTGCCTGAGGGGGCCGGCGCTTGAAGCGGCTGCGCCTCGTCGAGAGCCTTCGGGGGATGCTCGGAGCGTCCCGAGCGGCCCCTGGAGAGCCGAGGTATGACCCGGAAAGCCAGGGGGCCGACTCGTTATGAAGCAAGTTGGTCCTAGGGTAAACGGGTGGCCTGAGGTTTTCCACGTTTCCGGTCTCTAGAGTTGTGGACGTCGATTGAGGAGAGGAAGCATGCTGTCAAATAGTTTCCAGATGTCTAAAAGATATTTCAAACATGTTTTTTTGTATGTGTTAAAAAACCAGGTTTGACATATTTTTGGAACATGCTTTACACATTTTAAGCACATCTTGAATTCAATGATAGGATCGTTAGAGTGTCCATTGTCATGGCATCCACAATTCTAGAGGCCCTCCCTCGGCCCAGGGGCGGTCAAACAACGGCTCAGGATGGCGAGGCGGTCCTGGGAGAAGGCCCCGGGCCCCGGGTCCAGGACCCGTTTCCCTCGGGACCCGCTTGCTGCATGCCAAAGATGGGGCCGGAAGATCGCGCCACGTCTCGCAGGCCTAGAGGTTGACACCAACACCAAGATCGGCGGCGTGCCTCCACCGAGGGAAGACGATCCCGATCTCGGTGATGGTGGTAATATTTTGGCTTCCAAGGTGACCGAAATATTACCACCAACACCGAAATCTAGGATCATCTTCCACATGTGGAGGCAACCCCCTGTGTTGGTGTTGGTGCCAATTTCCAGGCCTCCAAGACCCGTTTGCTGCATGCCAAAGATGGGGTCGGAAGATCGCGCCACATCGCCAACCCGCGACCGCTTGCGAGCTTTACCCCTGCGTGTCCTGTCGGCGCCAGGGTGTCGGGCACCGGGCACCCCCGTGCGGTTTCGCTCGGTCGCAGGCATCCTTCACCTGCAGGGCTCCCGCTGGAGTTTCAGAGGTCTGACCTGCAGCAGTAGGGTTCACATATGGTTTCAGAGCCAACGCGTTGCTGCCGCATCGGCGAAGTATTGGCGATTCATTCATCTGCGACGTCGGCGATGCATTGGCGCCGTCGGCGTGGAGAACATCGGCATCGCCGATGTATCGGCGATGCGGCGCGATAGTCCAACCCCATCTGTTCGGACCACATCTGGGGTGCCTGGGAGGAGGAGGCCAACACCACAGTGGCGAGCGACGCCGCCGAGGCGAGCGACGACAACGCCACGAGCAGCACCTCGGAGCAGGCCGCCTTTGCCCGGAAGGAGACCACCCAGTCGAGGCCTCGTCGGAAGGCGGTGGACTCGGATCCCCTGCCGTACGTCAACCAAGAGGCGAGGGTCACCTCCATCATGGAGGAGAGAGACGAGGAGGAGCCAAGATGATGGCGAGGCCGATGTCCCCGGCGTGCAGGGCCCTGGAGCGGAAGACGTGCCGGGGCGGGCGCGCGGCGCGAAGCGCAGCGCGAAGCTTTGAGCCTGGCACTTTCTGGCAGCGGAAATCTTTCGTCACCGTCGCTCATCACTACTTCGCGGGTCATCGCTGCCGTGGCAGGGCCATGGTAACACGTACTGCTTGGATGACTGTGGAGCCTTCTTCGGATTTGGAAAGGGCGCAGCTGCCCCCAGTTGGCCTCGCGCAGGCCCAAGTTGGCAGCCAGATGGCCCCCCAGTTGGCTAGGACTTGGCGCACACATCGGCCTGACAGCCTTCAGATTTGCCCAGGTGGCCCCACGGTCGCCCAACTTGACTCAAGCCCGCTGGGACTCTCCCGCACCTCCCCCCAGCCTTACCCAGAAACTCTCCTTGTCACCGCCGCTTCGATTGTCTTGGGCCTCTCCAGGAGTCTTTTGGGCTGTCTCGCCCCTCCCCCCTTCCCCCCCTGGGGCTCATTGGGCAGTTGTGGGGTCTTCGTCTATGTCTCCTTCGAGCCATCTGGAGGCTATCTCAAGCATTCCTGAAGCTGCCGTCTTTGTATCGAACGAACACTTCACGTAACACTGAGCTGTCGATGCTGTTTGCAGTCTGTAGAGTCTCTTGGGCCGTCTTGGTACATTGCTTGTCGCCTCTTGCGCGCCTCTGGGGTCCTCTTGAGGCTTACTTCGCTGTTTTGGAAGCCTCCTGGGGGATTGTGGCGGCCTCCTCGGGGAGCCTTGGGGGTACTTGCCCCCAAGCCCAACCCCCCGCTCCTCTGGCCCCCGTTCTCTGGGACCACACCGAACCCTCTCGGCCTCCCCCCCTGTGGGGAAGGGATCAGAGGGAGTGGGCTCCCCCTTGGCCCGATTGTAGCATGGCCCCGTGACCCTCGGGATGGCGCGCCTGAGGTGGGGGGCTCGAGTTGGTCGGAGGAAATGGTGGGAAGGGCCCATTCTGACTGGGGTGGCTCTTGTCTCAAGGGCGGCCACATCAGGCAGAGCAGCAGCGGTCGCTTTTTGGTGTGCTTGGTTCGATCTGTCGTGAACCCAGCTGCGGACAGGGCGCAGGTCACACTGCAAGCATCTGTGTGGCTTTTCTGCCGCACCGCAGCGCTGGAGCGGGAGAGAGAGGTCCTGCGCACGGAAGGGGCGTGTAGACGTGTTTTTGGTTGGCTCCGCAGTCTCAAGAGAACATGTTCTGAGGCTCCTACGCTGTTGCAGCGCCCTTGTGCCCCCTCATTCTCTTGCGGACTCTTAAGCGCAAGTGGTACAGAGAAGCAGTTTCGAAACAGACTGAACCGTAGCGGCGCTCTTGATCTTGTGCTCCAGGAGGGATGCATGGATCTGGAGATGCGCATGGACTCGGAGAGCACGGCCCATAGGCGTTTGGCGACAGCATCATGGGAACCACCGCGCGTGCGTTACATCCGTCCATACTACACTACTTCACAGTTAGCGCATGGATGGGCCGCTTCTTCCTGGCGAGCCTCTTCCTGCGTAGCTGCTTTGCCGTCAGTCTTCGCCGCAATGCCCAGGCTGATCGCGAGTCTGAAGCATGCACCGACGCGCCCCCTGGCCGCTGGTGCCACGCCTCGGTGATGTGGGCGAAGACCGTCGGCTGCGAGCAGCACCCGGACTGGTTTCCAGGCGACCCCAGCCAGTACAGCCTGGGGGACTTCCAGTCGCTCCTGCACTCGCTCGGCGAGGCCGAGTGCTCGCTGCCGTGCCCCCACAAGTCGAAGGGCGCGGGCTCGCGTGCGGTGGGGCTCCTCGAGCTCGGCGAGAGCTCGAGTTCCACGGCCAGGCTGGGCAACGAGGTCGCTCCCGCGCTCGACCAGACCTCCACCTACGGCTTCTCGTCCGCCGAGTTTACGGAGATGATGGAGGAGAGCTGGGAGCCGAAGGCAACGACGAGCACTCGGGGCGCAGCCAAGACCGATGAAGCGGACTGCCAGGACGCGCACGTTGGCAGCATGTGCTACCACGCGATGACGTTCCTCCGCACCAAAGGGATCGCGAAGCACCCCACGTGGTACCCGTCGCTCAACGGCGACTCCACCATGCGGGATGTGCAGGAAGTCCTGCACACCGCGGGAAAAGCTGACTGCCCGAAGCCCTGCCCAGCCCACGACGCAGAGCAGCTCAAGAATTTTCACGACGACGACGTCATCGAAGTCTTTGACAACGGCCGGCAAGTGCCGAGCGCGGCCTACGAGCTCCGGGATGCCGCCGCGGACTGCGGCGACACCGTGGAGGGTGAGTGGTGCTACAATTCCATCATGTGGCTGAAGAAGACAGGCCTGGTCAAGCATCCAGACTGGTATCCTCATCTCACCCGCGAGTCCAGCATGGCGGATTTCCAGGCCGCACTGCACAACCAGCGCAAGATGAACTGCCCGCTGCCATGCAAGAATGTCTCGAATGTCGACGCGAGTGTCGTCACGGAGAGCCCGTCCGAGACGAACTTCGAAGAGGTATCGCAAGAGGATGCCACAACCACCGTCCCCGAGCCAATACGGACTGGCGCCGAGCAGTGCGAGGACGCACTGGAGGGCTCGCACTGCTACAAAGCGATCTCGCGCGTCATAGACGTGGGCATCTGGATGCACCCCGAGCAGTTCCAGGGGCTCAACCGACACTCCAGCCGCGACCAGGTCCAGAAGCACTTGTACCAGCACGGTAAGTACGAGTGCGGCTGGCCCTGCCCAAAGAAGCAGCTGGACAGGAGCCGGCGCGTCCTGAAGAGGGTGGAGGACATGACGGAGAAGGAGCTGGGCAGCTACATGAGCCACGAGTGGGACGGTTCGGTAGCAACTCATGGGGGCCTTGTGTGTTCTCGCGCTTCCGACTTTAGAGCGAATTGTCGTGCGCCAGCGTCTGGAAATTGATGAGAAAGCGCCGATCCAGCGTCGACTTAGCGTCGATTCAGCGTCGACTCAGCGTCGATTAGCGTCGGTCAGCGCCGATTCGCAGGAGCTCGCGAGATGGCATGGGAGCCTTCCATGAGTTGCCACCGAAGGACGGCTACGTCGACTCCGACGAGTACGACCCGCACGAGGCCGTGCAGCCCAGCGACGCGGAGGCCGCCCTGGGCGCCCCCGCCGCGAGGAGCGCGGGCGCCTCGTCCGAGCAGAGCGCCTCGACCGCGGACAACGCCACGCAACCCGAGGAGCCGAAGGAGCAAACAGGATCGGGAACTTTTGGATAGCGCGTCGCTCCGTCGGTTCCGGCCCACCGCGCCTGGGCGCGACACGTTATCCACTTCCTGATCCCGAAGCGCGCACGTGCCGAGCTCATCCGAGCTTCCCGTGCCGCGGAGCGGAGCGACACGCTATCTCTCAAGGCAAAGCGTGTCGGCAGGGGCCTCCGTGGCGATACGCCAAGCAACAGTTCCCGACCGTAGATCTTCGGAGGTCCGCGCGGGTTTTCTGGATATCCGCCGGGACCCCCCCCTGGCGGCGCCTCTGGCGCTGCCCCCTGACGCGCTCCGCGCGCCAGGGAGGGGGCCCAGCGCGGATCCAAGAGATCCGCGCGGACCTCCCCAAGTTGATAGTTACAAAGCTGTTTGTCGCTCTTCTAAGGAGGGGGTCGACGCGGCAACCCTGCCGGGGAAGGACGAGAGCACCCAGGAGCCCATGCCCGTGGTCAACACCAAGAAGCAGACCCCGTTGGGCCTGAAGGACCAGTGCCGCGACGCGCAGGTCGGCGAGCTGTGCTACTCAGCGGTGGCACGTCGTCGTCCTCCTCCTCCTCCTCCTAAGCTCCTTCCTCCTCCTTCTCCTTCTCCTCTCCCTCCTCCTCTTTCTCCTTCTCCTCATCCCCCTCCCCCTCCCCCTCCTTCGCCTCCTCGTCCTTCTCCTTTTTCTCCTCATTCTTCTCCTCCTCCTCTTCCTCCTCCATCCTCCTCTCCTCTCCCTCCTCCTCCTCCTCCTCCTCCTCCTCTTCCTCCTCCCCCTCCTCCCCTTCCTCCTCTTCCTTCCGTCTCCTCCTCCTCCTCCTTTTCCTCCTCCCCCTCCTCCCCTTCCTCCTCCTCCTCCTCCTCCTCCTCATCCTCCTCCTCCTTCGCCTCCTCCTCCTTCTCCTCCTCCTTCCCCCTTCTTCTCCCAGGTGACCTGGGCCCAGGGGGTGGGCGTCCACGAGCGTCCCCAGTGGTACACTGGCCTCTCCAAGACGTCCACCTTCAGGGAGTTCCAGGCGCTATTCCGCAAGACCAGTGGAATGGGAGGATGAGGACCATGAGGAGGAGGAGGAGGAGGAAGAGGAGGAAGAGGATGATGATGAGGAGGAGGATGGGGAGAATATGGGAATGGGGAGGATGGGAGGACAAGGAGGTCTAGCAGGATGCGCACGAGCTAGAGGATATGGGGCAAAACAAGGATGAGCAGGAGGAGGGCATGCAAGAGGAGGAAGAGGAGAAGAGGAAGGAGGAGCAGGAGGAGCAAGAGCAGGAGCAGGAGGGGCTCCAGGCGTTCCTCCACAAGTCGAGGCCAGGCATCTGCGAGATGCCCTGCGGCAACCTGCGGGAGGTGAGGCCCTTTGAGGCGGAGGCCGAAGCCGCCGACACCTCGGAGGAGCTGCTGCCAGTGATCGACGGGGGCGGGCAGAAGGTCGTCCCCACCACCACTACGGAGCCCACGCTGGAGCCAGAGGTCGCTCCTCCCCCTTCTCCGACCAATAGTTTGTACTACTACTACTGCTAGTGCAACTACTGCTGCTACTACTACTATTACAGCCGCTGCTGCTGCTACTACTACGACTACGGCTACGACTACGACTACGACTACGACTACGACCACGACTACGACTACGACTACGGCTACGAACACTTCTACTACTACGACGACGACGCTGACGACGACGACGACGACGACTACTGCTACTACTACTACTACTACTACTGCTGCTACTACTACTACTACCACTACTAGTACTACTACTACTACAACTACTATTACTGCTACTACTTCTGCTAACACTGCTTCTGCTACGAGCACTGCTGCTTCTTACTACTACTACAACAGCTACTTTTGGAGCAACGCTCACAACCACTACAACTACAAACACAGCAACACCAACAACTACTACTACTGCTACTACTGCTGTTACTACTACTACTACTACTACTACGACTAATCCTCCTCCTCCTCCTCCTCCTACTACTAGTTCTGCTACTGCTTCTACTACTACTGCTACTATCGCTGCTACTACTCTCACTATCATTACTACAACCACCACCACAACTACCCCTACTACTGCTACTACTACTACTACTATTACTATTCCTACTGCCACGACTTGCGCTACTACTTATGCTTCGATTGCTACTCGTAGTAAAACAACTACGGCCACTGCTACGACTACGGTTATTTCTATTCTTATTGCTACACATGTTACGATCCAAATCTTTATTCTTATCATCGCCACCACCACCACTACTACTTCGACTACTGCTATTCCTACTACTACTACTGCTTCTACAGCAACAACAACTTCTACGACTACTTCTACTACTTTAACACTGTGACTACTACTCTTAGTAGTATTACTACCTTTGCTACTACTGCTTTTACTTCTACTCTACTTGTATTACTATTACTACTATTGATACTATTACTACTATTGCTACTATTACTTCTGCTACTACTACTACTACCACTACTCCTACTACTACATTTCCACCACTAATAATACGAATTCTACAATTACTTCTACGACTAATATTACGACTACGGCGATTATTTGTACTACTAGTACTTCTACTTCTATTATTACTATTGCTACTACTACTAGTCCTACTTCTACTTCTACTACTACTACTACTACTACTGTTACTTCTACTTCGACGACTACTTCTACTAATCGTACTAGTCCTACCGCCCCTAGTAGTACGTCTATTACTACTACTACTACTACTACTATTTACTACTACTACTACTACTGCTACTACCACTACTACTAATACTACTACCCCTACTACTACTGCTGCTACTACTACTTCTGTTGCTATTACTACGAGCACTACTGCTACTACTACTACTACTACTACTACCACTACTACTACTACTACTACTACTACTACTACTACTACTACTACTACTACTACAGCTACTATTGGAACCTCACTTACAACCAGTACTACTATTATTGCTCCTACTGCTACTACCACGACTACTACTACTACTTCTACTACTACTACTACTACTATTATAGCGACTACTAGTACTACTAGTACTACTGCTAACACTACTATTATTTTCATTGCTATTCCAGCAACTAGTACAACAACTTTTTTACTACTACTGACTGCTACTACTACTAATGATACTCGTACCATTACTACCACTTCTACTTTTACTCTTACTCTTACTATCACTACTACTACTACTACTACTATTATTACTACCACTACTACTACTACTACTACTACTACTACTACTACTACTACTACTACTACTACTACTACTACTACTACGACTACTACTGCTACTACTGCTACTACTACTATTACTACTACTGCTACTACTACTACTACTTCTACTACTACTACTACTACTGCTGCTACTGCTACTACTGCTACTACTGCGACCCCGACTGCTACAGCTGCAAAGTTCAGGTACGCAAAGACTTGCACCTTTTAGGACTACGACTGCGACTGTTAATGCTACTTCTACTGATAGTATTACGGCGACTGCGGCCGCCACCTATTCATACCACCACTGGTGCTTCTCCTCCCTCTCCGCCGACTCCACCACCGTGGAGCCAACGCAGGTGCAGGCCAACTCCACCGCAGAGGCCAACGACACCGCAGAGGAGCCTGCGATGGAGGCAGACACGAGCGAAACGTCGGAGGAGGCGCTGCCGGTGGTCGACCCGAATGGGACAGAGGACAACCTCCCAGACATTGAACAGTCAGTACAGCAGCAGCAGGAGGCCACATCCACGGACGAGGCCAATGCCACCGCAGAGGCGCTGGCGCCGCAACCAGGGGCCGCCACGGCGGAGGCGGCGGAGGGCGACGCCTCCAGGGCAGAGAACGCCACCGCGGCAGAGGAGCTGCCGGCGCTTGACCAGGGCGAGCACGAGAACGGCTCCGCAGTGCAGGAGCCGGCGCCCCAGCGGGAGGCAAATTCTACAGAGGAGGAGAATCGCTCTGCGGAGGAGCCAGCGCCTCAGACAGAGGCCGCCACTGTGGAGGCGGCAGAGGCCGACACCTCGGAGGAGCCGCTGCCGTCGGTCGACCCGGAGGGGCAGGAGATCGAAATCGCGGCCGAGGCCTCAGAGGAGGAAACGGTATTGGTACTGCTACCCTTGCCTCGTTTTCGCCCTATTGGGCCTCATTGAAAGCCCTCGTCGCCACGGCTGGATTCGCTTCGAAATTCAGGTAAGAGTTTGCTCTGGAGAGGTCCAGGGAGTACCCTGAGATCCGACGTCCCGAAAAATACAGCATCGTCACAACACTCGCCCGGAGCCCTGGACCCAATCTTTCTGCGGCATTTTTCGAGCCGGATCGATCCGCGTGGGTCCTGGAGCTCCAAACAGGGCAAACTCGTCCATAGAGAAACAAATACGACGCCAGGATCTCAGGGGATTCTCCTCGAAATTCAGACGAAATCCTGGGGATCAGCGGCATCGGTACCTTGTGGCTTCCCCAGGAAGACATGGAGGGCATCGAACATCAGCGGGCGGCCGCCCAGGAGCAGGCCGACCCTCCTCCTCCTCCTCCTCCTCCTCCTCCTCCTCCTCCTCCTCCTCGACGACCCCGATCCCCAGACCCCCGACTTCGCGATTTTTTCACAAGGGATCGTTTTCTTGTTCATTATTTTGCCGATCGGCGCGGGCCCTCGCCCCCCCCTCCCCCGCCCCCCTCATGGAGTAGATCTTGGCTGTTTTGGGCGCCTGTTTCGAACAGGTGCAGTCTCTCCCATAGGACGCACTGCTCCAAAGAGTCGCACTAAGCAGAGGTCCAGAGCCAGACACCCCCCTCCCTCCCCTTTCGCCCAATGTCGACACGCCGAATAAGAAAACGCTCACCAACGCGGATCCCTGGGGGGCTCCACCCCGTTTCTGAGATTGGCTTTTCATCCCGAGTCGTTTTTTTCTGTCTTTTGGGGCCAGGCGAGGGTTCCCCAGAGTCCGACAACAGCGCAAAACTGTCCGTCGTGATCTATTCGCAACGCGAGGGGGGTTCGAACATTAAATCGGGCGTGTCCTTTTGGAATATTCGAAGAAAGGAACAAAATAGTCTGGGGACGATTTTTCGAATTATTTGACCATTTTCGAATATTGCGAAGGCCTTACGGCCGATGCCGCCGACCCTGAAGGGGGACGATGAACGACGACGACGACGACGACGACGACGACGACGGCGACGGCGACGACGATCGCGAGTCCTTGTTGGGGCCTTCCTGGGCCCTCTTGGGCTGTCCTGGGGGGCCTTTGGGCCGTCTTGGGGCCTTCCCGGGCCATCCTGGCGTGTACTTGGGCCGTTCTGGGGAGCTCTCGGAGGCAACTGGGGCCGACGTGGAGTGTATGAAGCCTGGAAGTCGAGCAGGCGAAAAAACATGGGCGATTTCGGGACCTCCTGGTAGCCTCTTGGAGTGGGGAGCTTGAAAGGTGGGTTGGTTTTCCCCCTCTTCGGCCTCTCTTGGGGTGTTCCTGGGGCTCTCTTGGGCGTTCTCGGTCGGAGAAGGGGGAGGGGGGGGGTCACGATTCGCAGGACGCTTCCAGGGACCCCGCGGGATCTTCTCCTCCCTCTCACCCTCCCCCCCGGGACCTCCCCTCTCCCGTGGGGAAGGGATTACAGGAACGGGGTCCCCTTCGAGTCGATTACGCTGTTGTTCTATTCTCCTCTGGCTGGAGCGTTTGAGGAGGTGGGCCGAGGGAAGAGGGGGTGGTGGTTCTGGGAGGCTCATGCAGGTTTCAGGGTGGTGCGGGGGAAAAAACGACGAAGAGCGAGGGGGAAATAGAGAAGGAGGCGGATGAGGAGGAGGAGGAGGCAGAGGAGTAAGAGGAGGAGGATCGAGGATCGGGGTTCGAGTCGATGTTTCATTTTTCATGGTCTTTTTTTGTGGGGCTCTCTGGAAGCCTCCGAGGATTTCTGGGGACGTCCTGGAGGCGTCTTGGGCCGTCTTGGGGCCCTCTTGGGCCGTTAGGGGACGCTTTTGGGCGCCTCTTGGGTTGTCTCGGGGCCATATTGGGGGCCTCCTGGGCCGTCTTGGCGCGTTTGCAAACGTCAGAGGCAAGAGCGCAAGAATCCTGCAAAAAACGTTTGGCAAATCTACGATTTTTGCCTCTTGGGGCTCTCGTGGGAAACCTCCTGGATGCCTCTTGGGGCGTCTTGCAGGCCTCTTGGGCCGTCTGGAAGCCGTGAAGGCGCCTTGGACAGATCGTCAGGCGAGTCGGGGTTCTCGTGGACTGTCAGTGGGGCATATTAGACCACACTTGGCCCTTTTTGGAACTCTTGTGAGCTCTGGGAATCCCGGGAGAGCGTCGTATCTGACGCCCCCCCCCCGGGACCCCCCCCAGGACCCCCCCCTACCCCCCCGGCGGGGGAGGGATCGAAGGGAAGGGGCTTCCCTTCGACTCCATTACGGCGTTCCTCAACGCCTGGGAAAGGAGGTGAAGAGGACGACAGCCACGACGACAAACGAATGACGGGCTGAGGCGGTCCCTGGGAAAGGGGGGGAAGAGGACGACAGAGACGACGACAAACGAATGACGGAGATGACGACTCGAACGGACGAAGCCCCTCACACACGCCGACAGGGTCGGTGGATTTTTGAGTACTTCTTATTCCCAATCCTCCTTGGTTGGGTAATCGTTTTGAATAGAGGACTGTGGTCGCGTCCTCTTCCTCCTCCCGCCTCCCTCCTCCTCCTGTCTTGCCTGCAGGGGGCTGCGATCTGTGAAACTGACGCCACTTCGAGGGCTGCTGGGGGGTCCAGCACAGTGACGTCCTACGCGGATTCAACTTAGACCTCACCATCCCGGTGTGTGTGTGTGTGTGTGAAACTGTCGCCACTTTCGAGGCCTGCTGGGGGGTCCAGCACAGTGACGTCCTACGCAGACCCAAACGGGACCTCGCCATCCCTGGGGGGCTGCGATGCGTGAAACTGTCGCCACTTTCGAGGCCTGCTGGGGGGTCCAGCACAGTGACGTCCTACGCAGACCCAAACGGGACCTCGCCATCCCTGGGGGGCTGCGATGCGTGAAACTGTCGCCACTTTCGAGGCCTGCTGGGTGGTCCAGCACAGTGACATATTCAAACGGGACCTGGCCATCCCTGGGGGGCTGCGATGTGTGAAGCTGTCGCCACTTTTGAAGGCTGCTGGGGGGTCCAGCACAGCGACGTCCTTCGCAGATTCAAACGGGACCTCGCCATCCCTGGGGGGCTGCGATCTGTGAAACCGTTGCCACTTTCGAGGCCTGCTGGGTGGTCCAGCACAGTGATGCTCTCCAGAGCCACGAAGGTCGACGATCTCCTGATGATCCGGGACCTGGGGCTGCAGTTCCTTTCTCGCGGACCGCCCGCGGACCTCGCGGCGCGCCTGCGTGCTTTTAGCTCCCGCGCTGAAAAGTGCCGGAAAGAGGCCCAGCTGCTGGCACAGCAGCTTGGCCTTGCGCGGATTTCTTGCGTTGACTGCGCCTGCTTGCTGGCGTGGCCCGAAGCATGGTCCCCCTGCTTCCGCTGCCCTCTTCTCGTCGTCACCCTCTTCCCTCCGGCCGCCTTTTTCCTGCTGCTATATCTTCTTGTTCCTGCCAGAACGCGATCCAGAGGTAACGTGCCTATGCTTTCCCTCCAACTCCCCACCCCTCTTCCCCTGGCGCCCCTGCGTCCCATTGCTGCCGCTTCCGCAGGTCAGCTGTTGGCATTTTGGGGGTCTATGATGGGGCGCGAAGTGCGCGAGATGTGTGCTGAATTAAAGCTCCGTTGAAGGCCCCGCAACGTTGCCCCCTTAGAAGGTGTCCCGAACTACTCTTGCACAGCGTTGCACAGGGGTTGGGTCAGTCGCCAGGGTAATCTGTCGCCCCAAAGCCGCTTGTTGGGGGACACGCCCAACTTAAGACTGACTCTTCATCCAGAGTCGTTTTTTTTTCGGTCTTGGGGCCAGGCGAGGGCCCCCAGGAGTCCGACAACCGCGCAAAACTGTCCGTCATGATCTGTTCGCAGCGCGAGGGGGGAACGAACACCTTCGAACCTCGGGCCTCAGCCGGCCGCCCCTTGGCCTGAGCCGATCAGTCCCGCAAGCAGCTGCCACCTCCCGAGTGAGACGCCGCGGTGCGATGGCGCCATTCGCAGCGTCAAGGGGAAAACCACGATCGATTCACGTGGACGAGCAGCAACCGAAAAATTGACAAGCCGAGGAATGGGGAACAGACAAGAGGAACGTCAGAGAGAGAGAGAGAGAGGGAGAGGGAGATAGACATATCGATGTATCGGTATATCGATAGATGGTCATACATATATATATATATGTATATATGTATATATTATACATATAGAGATCGTGAGATCGAGAGAGAGAGAGATATAAGAGAGCTAGAGAGAGAAGGAACGGCAGAAAGAGAGAAAGAGAGAGAGAGAGAGAGAGAGAGAGAAAGAGAAAACGACAGAGGACAGGCAGACAACCGTAAGAGAAACAACCTGCTCCTCCTCCTCCTCTCCTCCTCCTCCTCCTCCTCCTGCCATGCAGTGTTCGTCTTGCCCCCGTCCTCGTCCCTCCCCGTTCTCCACTACGAGACAGAGGGGAATTCTACGTAAGCCTGGTTTCTGGGTGCGTGTGGCGCCGAAGAGGATTCACCGTGCCAGCGGCCGTCTCAAGCTGTGGGCGGGGGGGGGGAGCAGGGGGTGCGCGGGCGAACGTGCGGACAGGTTCCTTAGCGGGGGAGGTGCACCACGAGGTGGTGGCCGCCTCGCCCGCCGACAGCTGCTCACCCTCGCTCGCGGAAGCGGGGCCTCCCGCCGGGCGGGGCCGCCTTGTCTCCCAGGACAGCTGGGGGAGTGCTCTCCCCAGGCAGCACCCTGAGCCAGACGCTTGGGCTTGCATCTGGATCCCACGTGGGGGTCAGTTGAGTAGTGCGATTGGCGCTCGGACCCACCTCCTCCTCCTCCTCCTCCTCCTCCTCCTCCTCGTCCCTCCTCTCTCCTCCCTCCTCCCTCCTCCCTCCTCCTCCTCCTCCTCCTCCTCTTCCTCCTCTTCCTCCTCCTCCACCTCCTCCTCCTTCTCCTCACTCCTCCTGAGCCTACCCCCCCTTGACCTGAGCCGGTCCCGAGGCCTCCGAGCCGCAGAGCGCGGAGGACGCGGCGATGGAGGCGGAGCAGGCCGCGGCGCTGCAGGGCGCCAGGGGCGCGGAGGCCGGCGGGGAGAGCTGGAGGGGCGCACATAGCGGGGGGTGAGCTGGAAGGAGGACGCAGGAAGAGTCATTATCCTCCTGCCTCCTCCTCCTCCTCCTCCTCCCTCCTCCTCCTCCTCCTCCTCCTCCTCCTCCTTCTCCTCCTCCTCCTCCTCCGCCTCCTCCTCCTCGCTTTCGCTGTTGGTCCAATGGGAGGTGGCACCCGCTGGCAGTTGTGAGCTTGACACACGCCTTCGAGGACGACCGAACCGAACCTCCTCCTCCTCTTTGCTCCTCCTCCTCCTCCTCCTCTCCTCCTCTCCTCCCTCCTCCTCCTCCCTTCTCCTCCTCCCTCCTCCCTCCCTCTACCATCCCTGCTCCCTCCCTCCCTCCCTCCTGCCTCCTCCCTCCTCCTCCCTCCCTCCTGCCTTCTGCCTCCTCCTCCCCTCCTCCTGCCTCCTCCTGCCTTCTTCAGGCTCCAGGGTGGCGGCCTTTGTCCCGCAGTTCGGGTGCGGCCGTCGTCCTGCCTTCTCCTCCCCCTGCTGCCTCCTGCCGCCTGCCTGGCTTCGCGACGGCGCGCGACGTTGGCACGCCACTTCTGTTGGGATTCCCCAGTCCTCGGGGGCCTGGCAAGAGAGCGCGCCCCCGACGGGCGTCCAGCGGCAAGCCCGTTAGCCCTGCTGTAGCAGGCTTCCGGGCTCGCTGAGTCGTTCGACGACCGTCGGGGCTCGCCGAGCTGCTGAGCGGGGGGTGAAGATGGAGGAGGGCTGAGGTCGGCCCGCTCGGGGAGGGAGGCTCGAGGGTCCAGGTCGAGGTCGAAGGCCAGTCTCTTGCTGAGGGGCCTCCTTGGCTCTTGCTGCGCTTCGAGGGGGCTTCTCGTCGCCACGGCTGGCTTCGCTTCACAACCCAGTTCAAGGCGCACCCAGAGACCAGAGATGTGCCTGGGGGCGAGTTTTGACCCCTGGGCCCACACCTCGCTGCGTCGTGAAGCAATCACGACGGAAGGTTGTTACTCATTTTCCGCCTGTGCGGGCCCTCGCCGGGCCCCAGGACCGTCGATAAAGAACGACGCAGGAAGAAACGCAGGTGCTGGGGAATTGGTCGAGACCTCCAGGGTCCGCGTTGCGAAAACAATCACGACTTCGCGGCTCCGGGGAGCATGAGGGGCCTCCTTGGCTCTTGCTGCGCTTCGAGGGGGCTTCTCGTCGCCACGGCTGGCTTCGCTTCACAACCCAGTTCAAGGCGCACCCAGAGACCAGAGATGTGCCTGGGGGCGAGTTTTGACCCCTGGGCCCACACCTCGCTGCGTCGTGAAGCAATCACGACGGAAGGTTGTTACTCATTTTCCGCCTGTGCGGGCCCTCGCCGGGCCCCAGGACCGTCGATAAAGAACGACGCAGGAAGAAACGCAGGTGCTGGGGAATTGGTCGAGACCTCCAGGGTCCGCGTTGCGAAAACAATCACGACTTCGCGGCTCCGGGGAGCATGAGGGGGAGGAGGAGGAAGCGGGGGATGAGCTCTGAGATCTTGGCGTCGCACTTTGTTCACAGCAGGCGGCTTTTCCTTGTTGCGGTCCCCAGGACCGACACGGATCGTTCTGGCTCGAACAGTGCGGCAGAAAGACGGGGTCAATGGCTCCCGTGAGTTTTTTTCCGATGTTTCTGTTCTTTCGTGATGTCAGGTCTCAAGAGGAGGGAGGAGGAGGAGGAGGAGGAGGAGGAGGAGGAGGAGGAGGCGGAGGAGGAGGAGAGGAAGAGGGAGAGAAGAGGAGAAGGAGGAGGAGGATGAGGAGGAGGAGGAGGAGGATGGGAGGAGAGGAGGAGGAGGAGGAGGGGAGGAGGAGGAGGAGGGGAGGAGAGGGGAGGAGGAGGAGGAGGAGGAGGAGAGGAAGGATGAGGAGGCAGGAGGAGGAAACGAGGAGGAGGAGGAGGAGGAGGAGGAGGAGGAGGAGGAGGAGGAGGAGGTGGCGGGGGAGGATGAGGGAGGGGGGCGGGAGGGAGGGAGGAGGGAGAAGGGAGGAGGGAGGAGGCAGGAGGGAGGAGGGAGGAGAGAGAAGGGAGGGAGGAGGAGGGTGGAGGGAGGATGGATGTTGGAGGGAAGGAGGGTGAGAGGGAGGGAGGGACGGATGGAGGAGGGAGGAGGAGGGCGGAGGAGGAGGAGGGAGGATGAGGAGGGAGGAGGAGGATGAGGAGGTACATTGGAGAGGGGAGAAGGGAAGACAGGGGAGGCTGAGCGAAGACAAACAGGGGCAAGTGGAGAAGGGGGAAAGAGGGAGGGAGAGGGAAGAGGAGGGAGGAGGACGGGGGAGGAGGAGGAGGAGTAAGATGAGGAGGATGAGGAGGAGGCGGAGGAGGAGGAGGACGAGGAAGAGGCGGAGGCGGAGGAATCTGATCATGATCACGATGATGCTGCTGCTGCTGATGATGATGATGCTGATGCTGGTGCTGCTGCTGCTGATGATGCCGATGCTGCTCACGATGATGATGCTGCTGATGATGATGCTGCTGATGATGCTGATGCTGATGGTGATGATGATGTTGATAATGATGATGATGCTGATGACGATGATAATGATCATAATGCTGCTGATGATGCTGATGATGGTGATGCTGATCCAGATGAAGATGAAGATGATGGTGATGCTAATGATGCTGATGCTGATGCTGACGATCAATATGGTGATGACGATGATTGCGACGCTGATGCTGGTGATGATGATGCTGATGCTGCTGATGATGGTGCTGTTGATGATGCTGAGAAGGATGATGATGATGATGATGATGCTGCTGATGATGATGATATGATGACAATGATGACGCTGACGACGATGATCATGTCGACGGCGATGACGATGACGACGGTGATGATGATGACGACGATGACGATGATAATGATGAGAGTGCACATGATTATAATGTTGATTTTGATGTTGTTGTTCTTGTCCATGATGACGATGACGACGGTGCGGCTGCTGCTGGTAATGACGACGCTGCTGATGCTGAGGATGATGCTGATGATGATTATGGTGATGATGATCATGATGACGATGTTGATAGCGATTGCGATCTTGATGATGATGGTGATGATGCTGATTATGATGATGATGCTGATGATGATGATGCTGATGATGATGATGATGATGACGATGATGACGATGATGATGATGATGATGATGATGATGATGATGATGATGATGATGATGCTGCTGATGATGATGCCGATGCTGTTGTTGTTGATGATGATAGGGGAGGAGGAGGAAGAGGAGGAGGAGGAGGAGGAGGAGGAGGAGGAGGAGGAGGAGCAGGTGGAGGACCAGTGTAAACCCAAGACGCATCAACAATGCTGGGGTAAATCTTCCCCCAAGCTCCCTCTTCATAGGACCCGACAAGGGTTCATTTCCAGTGCATGTTTTGCCCTGTTTGGAGACAACCGTTTGAATATCCTGAAGCGTGCCCAGACAGCATTCTCGGGACTGTAAAGCCACGCATGAACCTGGCTGTTGCGTCTTGACGATCCTGAATCGTGCCAGAACGCCATTCCTCGCACTTCAACGCAGCGAATCAGCGTAACTGTTGCGCCCTAGCATTCCTGAGTCGTTCCAAAACATTGTTGCTGGTGCGTTTACCATGTGAATCTGTCAGACCCGTGCGATTTCTTAAAACGAATGTGTGCGGTGCTAAGGCGAGAACCACACTTTCAACACGAGCCGCCCTCCACGTGTGAAACTCTGGCAATTTTTAGGACAAGTGTGCGCGGCGCTAAGGCGATAGCCACATGTTGAAAAGAGCCCGCCCTGGGTCCGTGAAGTTCTTACAACTTAGAAAACGAGAGTGCGCGGCGCTTTGCGAGAGCCGCATTATGAAAACCACCCGCCCTGAATATGTGAAGCTGTTGCCCTTTTTCAAGCTTCAGGGTCATCAATGGTAAGGATGGCTCAGGCGAAATGCCCGGAGCGCCCTTTCGACTGGCCTCGGGGTGCGACAGGGGGGAGTTATCTATAAGGAAAGGATAGGAGGAGGAGGAGGAGGAGGAGGAGGAGGGAGAGGAGGAGGAGGAGGAGGAGGAGGAGGAGGAGGAGGAGGAGGAGGAGGAGGAGGAGGAGGAGGAGGAGGAGGAGGAGGAGGAGGGGAGGAGGAGGAGGAGGAGGAGGGAGGAGGAGAGGAGGAGGAGGAGGAGGAGGAGGAGGAGGAGGAGGGGAGGAGGAGGAGGAGGAGGAGAGGAGGAGGAGGAGGAGGAGGAGGATGAGGAGGAGGAGGAGGAGGAGCAGGAGGAGGAGGCGGAGGAGGAGGAGGAGGAGGATCGTAACATATGGCTTCGCTTGAGTGGGTGGGGGCGGGAGGACCCTGGCTCCCTGCCGCCATCCTCCAGCTTCCCCCCTCCACCTCTCCCCTTCCCCGCTCTTCGCTCCCCCCAGTCGAGGGACTCGCCCAGCGTGGGACGGGCCTTCTGATCTTTCGTCCCCTGCAGTGATTGCCTCGTTACAGTGATTGCCTCGTGCGTGGTGCTTGTTTTACCCAGGGCTGGCCTGCACCGCATCCGCGGTTGACGTTGAAGAACTTTCCCCCAGACATGCGATGTCTTGACGTTTTTAATGCGCGGTCCCCAGAAGTCCCGACCCCTTCCCCAGGGCCAGCCTGTCATCGTGAGCTGTTTTCTGACGGTCCTGGTGCCTGGTAGGGGCCCCCAGGGGCTGAAAACTGAGAAGACAAGCTGTCCTTATTCTGTCAGGGCGCTGCATGTCTGGGCCCTCCCCCCCCTCCTCGTCGTCGTCGTCGGCGTCGGAGTCGTTGTCGTCGGCGTCGTCGTCGTCTCGCTGTCGTTGCCGCCCTCCCCCTGCATTGAGCCTTTGCGGGCTCGCAGGAGCCTGACCAGGCAGGGCTGGCAGTAAGAGCGGTAGCATGCTCGTGTTTTCGGCGCTCTGGCGCCACCGCTGTCAACCGTCCAGCCTTTCACCATTTAGCTGCCTCACCTCCGGCTTCATCCTTCTCGTCTCGTCTCTCCTTGTCCCCCCCATCCATCCCTGCTTCTCCGCTGCCGTTTAGGGCCCTTGCGCCAGGCCGCCTGGGAAAAGAGCGATCGACGATGCGATCCGAGCCGGTCCTCGATCGACAACCGCCAGGCTCTTGTAGGGCCACCCCCCAGGACGACTGACCGGCGCCGCTGCCCTGCCCTGTGCTCGTCCTCCTCCTTCTCCTCCTCCGCCTCCTCCTCCTCCTCCTCCTCCTCCTCCTCCTCCTCCTCCTCCTCCCCCCTCCGATCCCCCGTCCACCCTCGCAGCGCGAGGCCAACGCCACGGAGGAGGCCACCCCCGCCGCCGAGGCGCCCGCCGAGCCGCAGGCGGAGCGCGAGGCCAGCGCCGCGGAGGAGGCCACCTCCGCCGCCGAGGCGCCCGCCGAGCCGCCGGCGGAGGCCGCCGCGGCGGAGCCCGACGCGTCGGAGGAGCCGCTGCCGGTGGTCGACCCGGAGGGGCAGGAGCTCGAGATTGCGGCCGAGGACTCAGACAGGGCTGGGCCTGAACGGTGTTCTTGGCGATTCGAGGCAAAGGCGAGGGACAACACGAAAGCGAACAACACCGTTTAGATGCAGCCCTGGACTCAGAGCCCCTCGCATCGAGCAGCAATTCCTGGCCGCGACATCGCGGATCGGCTTTCGTTCGGCCAACAAGGGGATGGGCCCGGACTGTCCTGGATGATTTCGTTCCGGATTTCGAAGTGAATTTCTTGTGTGTGTATGTGTGTGTGTGTGTGTGTTTGGGCCAGGAATGAAAACTACAAGAGCGAAAATCAGCTGCAGCGCGTCTGCAAGGTCGGTGCAGTGAGAATCGCGACCGAATTTTTTTTGTAAGGTGGGGGGCCTTTTTGGCTCTTCCTGCGCTTCGGGGAGGCTTCTCGTCGCTTCCCAAATTCGGGTCAAGACGCACCCAGAATTCCAGAAGTCTTGGCTGAAGAGGAAAATTGTACCGACACCGCTACCCTTGCCTTGATTTCGTCTCTGTCGGCCTCCTATGAGGCCCTCGTCGCCATGGCTGGATTCGCCTCGAAGCTCTGCTCAGAACGCACCCCGGGGAGAGGTCCAGGGAGCAGCGGTACATTTTTTCAGATGGTCGCATCGTTTTTCCCTTTGTGGGGCTCCTCGGAGGCCCTCGTCGCCACGGTCGGATTCGCCTCGAAGTTCTGTTCAGGACGCACCCCAGGAGATGTCCAGGGAGCCGCGTTACCGCGCTGTGTCGGTACCATCTGGTTTCCCCAGAGGACATAGCGGCAATCGAACAGCAGCGGGCATTCGCCAAGGAGCAGGCCGAACTGAGGGCCATGGTCGAGGCACTGAAGGCCGAGAACGCCGCGCTGAAGGCGCAGCCGGCACCAGGGCACGAGGTCGCTCGTCGTCGTCGTCGTCGTCGTCGTCGTCGTCGTCGTCGTCTTTCTCCCCTCCGAGGAGCAAGTCGTGATGATGACACGTTACAGTATTTCCCTGGCTCCCAGTTTCTCCGCGCGGGCTACAGAAACGAGGACCGCTAGATGCTCTAGAACCGCTGGGATGCATCCTGGGTCAATCGGATCATGTTATCATGCTCGTTCTCGTCCTCCCTCTCCCTCTCCTCCTCCTCCTCCTCCTCCTCCTCCTCCTCCTCCTCCTCCTCCTCCTCCTCTCTTCCTCCTCTCCCTCCCTCCCTACCTCCTCTCCCTCCCCCCCCAAGGTCTATCCCGATCCGATCGATCCGATTCGACATCGATTCTGGCTGGCTCGATCCGATTCGATTCCGCCACTCCGACGATGCGATGCGGCCCGATGCTTGCGCGCATTGTGCTTCTGGACATCCTGACGCGGCCGATCCGATTCGATGCCGACTCCGTGCCTATTCGGCCCGATCCGACGAACGGTCCGATGCGACCCGACTTTCTGAGTCGATGCTGACTGCTCCTGCCCCTTCCTCCCTCCCTCGGTATTTCTTTCCGACGCCTCTTGTCACCTTCCGTGACCAGGCCTATATGCAGAGGCTTGAACTAAGCGTTGAACCGCATCATGCTCAGCTGTGAAACTCTAAAGACTTGTCAGTAAAAACGAACCACGTGTGTCCTCTGGGGCCATGTATTCGGTCGTGAATCATGACGCAGGAGGAAGGATGGAGTGCTCACGCGGGTGTTCAGAACACCCCTAGCTTCGAAAGAGCGTGTTCTACCGCTGCTGGCGTAAAACCGGGGGGGGGTCACTACCGGTTCGAACCCCTCCCTTCCCCCCCCTCCGGAAAACCGGGGGGGGTGGTCACTATCGGTTCGAACCCCTCCCCCCCCCAGTCCATCATGAAAAGGGAGGGGTCACTACAGGTTCGAACCCCCCCCCCCCTCGAAAACCGGCGGGGTTCTATCGGGTAACCCCCCCCTCCCCCCCCTCGAAAACCGCGGAGAGGTGCGGACAGTGGTGGGGACGGTGGTGGTGGGGACAGTGGTGAGAGGACAGCGGGACAGTGGTGGGGACAGTGGGACAGTGGTGGGGACGGTAGTGGTAGGGACAGTGGTGAGGACAATGGTGGGAACAGTGGGGACAGTGGGACAGTGGTGGGGACGGTGGTGGTGGGGACAGTGGTGTGGGGACAGCGGGAATGTGGTGGAAACAGTGGGACAGTGGAGGGTACAGTGGTGGTGGGGACAGTGGTGAAGGCGGTGGCGAGGACGGCGGTGGGACAATGGGACAGAGGTACAGTGGGGACAGTGGTGGGGACAGTGGGGACAGTGGTGGGAACAGTGGGACAGCTCAGTGGGACAGCGGAGGAGTCAGTGGGACAGTGGGGACAGTGGGGATGGTCGGGCAGTGGTTGGGGCCGTGGAGACAGTGAGGAAACCGTGGTGGGAACAGTGGTGGGGACAGTGGGGACAGTGCGACAGTGGTGGGGGCACTGGTGGGGACAGTAGGGACGGTGGTGGAACCAGTGGGGACAGTGGTGGTGAGGACAGTGGTGCTGGGAACAACAGTGGGGGATGTGGTGCGGACGGTGGTAGGGACCGGGAGTCGTTTGCTGGCGGTGAGGGGGGGGGGGAGGGGTTCGAACCGGTAGTGACCCCCCTCCGGTTTTCGAGGGGGGGGGTTCGAACCGGTAGTGACCCCCCCCCCGTTTTCGAGGGGTAGGGGGGGGGGGAGGGGGGGGGGGTTTTGCCGGGGGAGGGGAGGGGGTTTCAGCAGGGGGGGGATTTTCGGAGGGGGGGGGGACCCCCGGGTTCTGGAGGAAAAGAGGGGGAATTTTCCACAGTAAAGCGGGGGTGGATCACGCTCTCTCCTAGCTTCGGAAGGGCACCCTTAGGCTCTTCGTATCTGGGCATCTCCGCCTTGGAATTCCACTCTTCTTGGGCATCTCCGTGGGGCCTTGCAGACTTCGGCGACGGGGCTCCTGCTCTTGACCCGTGCTCTCGCGGCCATGTTTCGACTGTACGGGTCCGAGACATCTGACGACGTCAAGCTTTCCGATCTGCGGCCCCAGATGGAACATCACACGTTTTTGTTGTACGGCTAACGGTGGCCATCAAAGAAACGTGCTTTAATAACCACTGGTAGCCACACACAAAAACGTGTGATGCTCCCGACTCCCTCCCCCGTTGGGGGTAGTCTTGCGCCCTGGACGCACGTTCGGCGGCCCCCGGGGCCTGAAGGCGTGCCCCAGAGACCGAACGAAAGGGAGCACGCCGCGACGGAACAGCACCTGTGTCGTCGGCGGTCGGGGCATTCCGGACATCCCGCCCCAACCGCTCAGCCGGCCATGCTGCCGTCAATCGGCATTTGGAGGGGGCCGAGGGCCCACCTGCGGTCCCTCGGCCAACGGAGACGGCCGTAGGGGGGGGGGTGACCCGTGCCTCCACCTCGAGGCACACGCGCCGCCACCTGAAATTAGAGGCGCAAGTTGCCACCCACCACTTCTATCCTCCGCCGTGTTTGTTTGTTTGTTTGTCTGTCTGTCTGTCTGTTTGTTTGTTTGTTTGTCTTTTTTTTTTTGTTTCGCAGCGTGGCGCCCAAGAGGTCTGGACCTCTTCCCCAGAAGCGGCTTCTCGTCCCGAGTCGTTTTTGACGGTCCCGGGGCCCAGCGAGCCCCCCCCCCCTCTGGAGGCCGAAAATGGTAAAGAAACGTTTTGTTTTTTTTCGCGACGCAATGGCGTATTGGCCCAGGTGTCGAGACTCGACCCACGGACGCATCATCCCTGGGTGCGTTTGGAGCAGAATTCTGAGGCGAATCCAGCCGTGGCGACGAGGAGCCTCCCTTGGCGCGCAGATAGAGCTCCAAATGCCCCCCCCCCCCAAACTACAAACTGACCGACCTTCAGCCTCGAACCTCGACGCTCGAGCCTCCCTCCCCGAACAGGCCGACCAGGCGGCCGCAGCCGCCCCAGAGCCCGTGCCTGAGACAAACTCCACCGCCGGGGAGGAGCCCGCGCTCTCGCCGGACGCCGCGGCGGCAGTGGCCAACACCACAGCGGAGGAGGAGGGAGTCAGAGGAGGAAAAGGTAACGTATTGATACCCGAGGGTCGAGTTTTGACCCTGGGGCCCTCACCCCGTTGCGCCATCGTGAAAAACGTAGACGTTTTTTTTGTTGTTGTTTTTCTTCTCCTGTTTTTGTTATTTTCTGTCTCTGGGGGCCTTCGCTGGGCCCTGGGACCGTGTAAAAAATGGCTCGGGATCGTGAGAGGCGGCCCCGTGGGAGGCTTGAGACCTCTCGGGGGGCCACGGTGAGAAAGAATCGCGACGCCGGTTCTGGGCTGAGGAGGAAAATGGTGCGGGTACCGCTACCCTTGCGCTTTCTGCGCTTCGGGGAGGCTTCTCGTCGCCTCCCAAATTCGGGTCAAGACGCACCCAGAGGTCCAGATGTCTTGGCTGAAGAGGAGAATTCTACCGACACCGCTACCCTTGCCTTGATTTCGCCTCCTGCGGCCTCCTATGAGGCCCTCGTCGCCATGGCTGGACTCGCCTTGAAGCTCTGGTCAGGACGCACCCGGGGGAGAGGTCCGGGGAGCAGCGGTACACCTTTTTTCAAAGTGTTCGCCCAGGAAAAGGCCAACACCACAGCGGCAGGCGACACTGCAGCGGCGAGCGACGACAACGCTACGAGCGACAGCGACGACAACGCCACGGGCGACAGCTCGGAGGCGGCCGCGTTTGCCCAGAAGGAGGCCGTCCAGCCGAGGCCTCGCCGGAAGGCAGTGTATGCGGAGCCGCTGCCCTACGTGAACCAGGAGGCGAGGGTCACCTCCGTGATGCAGGAGAGGGACGAGGAGGAGGACAGGTGATGACGTTGAGGAAATGGTGCTGATACCGCTGCCCTTCCCTCGTTTTCGCCCGTTTGGGCCTCCAGGGAGGCCCCCGTCGCCACCGCTGGAGTCCCTTCGAAATTCTGGTCAGAACGCACCCTGGGAGAGGTCGCGGGAGTAGCGGTATGGGTACCTTTTGGTTTCCCCAGGTGATGACGTGGAGTGGGACGCCTGCGCAGGCGTGCAGGTTGTAGCCAGCTGGGGGTCTGAGGTGGCCCAGCATTGCTTCCTGCCAGCAAGAAGGAGGAGCGAGGTTCGAGGTGCTCGGTTCGAGGAGGTTTTTTGGCTTCTCTGGGCCTCCGGGGGCCGTTTATTAGCCTGGTGGATTGTCCAAAACGGATCTGGGGTGAAACGCTGCACCAGATGAACCCAGGGAGGGGTCTGGGGACCGATTTTGAGCGGGTTTGCCTTCATCCCCCCTTCTTGGTTTATTTTTACGGAGCCCAGCCAGCCCAGACCCCCTGGCCGCCTCCAAGTGGAGCGGGACACCCGCGAGGGGGTGCAGGAGCCCGCTGCCTGAAGGGCGTGTCGAAGTGCAGCATGCGCGGCAAAACGCTGGGCGCAGGTCGTATCCCCGCTCAGTTCTGCGTTCGACCTTGACTCGTACGTTTTAAACGTTCAAGACCTTCGGCGTCGTCGTCCATCATCCCATCTATAGCATCGCTGCCACTCAGAGCGCGATGGCAGCACTTGCTGATCGGATGGCCGCAGAGCCTTCTTGACAGCTGGCCGAAGGGAGCATGGGCGCTGCGCTACTGGCGACTTTGGATGCCCAGCAGGGGGGTGAAGCAGGGGTGCCCAGGCCTGAGCACGCACGACCGCGAGTGCTTCGCATCCCCCTGTGAGTGCTTCGCATCCCCCGGTGGAGGCGCTCCGGCAGGGGCCTCCTCGCCCCGAGCGCGCTCTCGCCCTCGGCGGAAGCCGGCGGAAGGCCAGCGGAAGGCGGCGGACGTAAAGGGGAGACGTCTACGCGTTGGGGTTCGGTGGTTCTGGAGCCGGCTACTTGCGGCTCTGCCCAAGGGGTCCTTACTGATTCGGTGCCAGCAAGAGCGGCGCGGCCGCGCCCGCTCGGCTCACCTTGTCTTCTTCGGCTCCCGGCCCCTGGGCGCAATGCCATGCCAAGGCATGTCATGGTACGCCATCATCTGATGCCAGTTGCTGCTATGATGTCTTGTGCAGTGCTTTGCGATACAATTCGGGCCATGAGGCGGTGCACAACGCTTTGCAGTGCTGTGCAATGCCGTTCTATGCCATGACTTGCTTCTCAGTGCAGTACTATGATATGCCATGCACTGTAACACGGTGCCACCCTAGGTTATACACGCTATGTCATACTACGCACAACAATTCCATCCAGAACCATCCAATGACTTGCCAAGCCAAGCCATGCCATGCTGAGATGTGCATGTGTGCAGTGCCGTGTTGTCGTATGACGCGCTGCTCTGTGCCATGATATGCCATGCCATGATATCCAGTGCACTTATGTGCCACGCGCTTCTGCGCTACGACCTACGGTGCTGTGCTACACCGTGTGATGTTACGGTATATTTGCTAGTGCGGCGCGCCGCACCGTCGCACACAGGCCCCGCGATTGGTTCCGCCGATGCTGAAACAAGACACGCAAGGATCGAAGAGGAGGAAAGGAGAAGGGGACCGCGGACCCTGACACCCTCCATCTGCGAAAAGATCAAGGCGGAAGGGTTCTGCTACTGTTCCGCCTCCATGGGGGCCTCGCCGGTCTCCAGGACCGTCACGAGACGGCTCGGGACGAAAAGCCGGTCCCGGGGGCTGGGTCCAGACCTCTGGCGAGCCACGCTGCGAAAAAGACGGCGTCGGACGTTTGGGGAGCCACTTGTGCAGCGCTCCTTTGCCACGCTGCCGCCGAGCTCGGGAGCCTGGCCTCCGTCGTCGCTCGAAGGTCTGCCTGGTCTGCGAGCCCTCTGGCCGTTCCGCGGCCGCCTCCGCCTCCCGCCTTGCCCCTCGCTTGCCTCCGCCGTACTGGGCGACGGACGCGTCCCGCCGCTGGCCGACCGCCTGTTGGATCCGACTCGCCGCTGACCGACAAGATCTGGCGAGCTCCTCCTCCTCCTCCTCCTCCTCCTCCTCCTCCTCCTCCTCCTCCTCCTCCTCCTCCCCTCCTCCTCCTCCTCCTCCTCCTCCTCCTCCTCCTCCTCCTCCTCCTCCCCTCCTCCTCCTCCTCCTCCTCCTCCTCTCCTCCTCCTCCTCCTCCTCTTCCTCCTCCTCCTCCTCCTCCTCCTCCTCCTCCTCCTCCTCCTCCTCCTCCTCCTCCTCCTCCTCCTCCCAGGCTGCGGCAGGAGGACGCGGGACGCGCGGAGGCGCTGCGAGGGGGCCATCACGGGCCCAGCCGTGGCCCAGGGCGGCCACGGCCGGCCGCGAGCTGGCGCGGGTGGGCAACCGGGTGGCCCGAGGCTCGCCGGGAGTCGGCCGCAGCATCGCCCCGGCCCCGGCAGGCCCCGAGCTGGCCCCTTGATGGCCCCGAGATCGTCCGAGCCGGTCGAGGCCTTGTCCAGTGAAGCGCAACACGGTGAGGCAAGCTCGAATACCCTGAGCGCTGCTCGCGCGCGCTCGTCGGGTGTTGCAGGCTCCCAGTGCAGCCACAGGGTAGATGCTCGGGTCTGGAGTGGTACGTCGATTGGTGGAGCTTTTCGTCACTTCTTCCTTGTCATCCTCCTGGGCGACAAACGTCTGAAAACCCTGAGCCTGTCTCTTGAAGCGCGTCTTCGAGGAAGCGATGAAATCTTGGCCCGCACCCACGCCGACTCCCTCAGGCCCAGCCTCCCCCCTTCCCGCCCCCCCGCGGCGCCCTCGCTGGGAGACATCGCTGCCACCGCCTCCTGGGACCGCCCCTTGGGCCTGTCAGGACGCGTTGCCTCGGAGATGCGCGCCAGCCGAGGCAGCGCTGCCCAGGAGCTGCGCGCGAGCCCGGGCAACGCTGTCCGAGGGCGCTGCCCGCGAGCCCAGGACGGTGCGCCGAGGAGCTGCCCAGGACCGGCGCGCGACGCACACGGAGCGCGCTGTGCAGGAGCCGCGCAAGCGCCCGCGGCCGGCCACCGTGATGGGAACGAGTAGGCTTAAGTCGGGCCTGTCCCTCTACAGGGGGAATGTTCAAAAATAGTAAAAAAACTGGTCTGGGGAATATTCTTGGACTATTTTGAGCATTCTTGGCGTATTTTGATGGTATCTTTAATTTTTCGCCCCATATCCCCCTGTAGGGGGCAGGCCCAACCTGTAAGAGTAGGAAAGCCCCTTGCGGGCGAGGCTGGAGCACTGGGCCGCCGCCGTGGGGGCCCCCTCCCGTGGCCTCGCCTCGGCGGCGCGCGGGATGCGAGGGGGGGGGCGCCTCTCGGGGAGCCCGCGGCCGCCTCCCGGGAGGGCTCCTCTGTGGAGGGGGGGGCTTCCGAGCCTTCCCGAGAGGCCCCCCTCCTCCTCCTCCTCCTCCTCCTCCTCCTCCTCCTCCTCTCCTCCTCCTCCTGCTCCTCCTCCTCCTCCTCCTCCTCCTCCTCCTCCTCCTCCTCCTCCTCCTCCTCCTCCTCCTCCTCCTCCTCCTCTCCCCCGTGCCGCGAGGAGGGGGGAAGATGGGACGACGGGATCTGCACGTGTCGGGGCTCCATCGGGCCGTCTTCTGGACCCTCGGAGGGCCCTCCTCGTGAGAGCTTCGGCAGCGGCCATGGGAATCAAGCACGTGCGCGTGCTTGTCGACGGTCCCTGCAGCCTCTCCAGGGAGTTGTTGCGAAGTTTGTTGCGACGCAGTTTCATGTTTCTGCTTCCTCCCGTCAGTGTTTACGACAATCCCTCTTGGAAGTTAGACGAATCGCCTGGATGCCTCTCTTGGGGTTCTCAAGTGGGACGCGAGTCAATGGGCGCAACTTCGCGCTCGCCATATACGCTGCGAGAAAATCTATACCCGGGCTGTTGGAAGTCCTCGGAAGCCTCCGGAGCTCCGGGTGGCCCGCATGTGGTAAGACATCGTTTCAAGTCCTCGATCCTCGATCTTTCTTCGTGGATTACCGCGCGGGAAGCGCAATTCTCTCCCTCACTGTCGTCGACGCCGCCGCCGTTTTGTCGCCTTCTTCGCGGTTCTTCCGCGCCTCCCCTGCGCCGAAGCCCGTGCGGCTCAGGCTCTTTCGGTCCCTCTTCCACGGCGTGCTCTCCTCCTCCTCCTCCTCCTCCTCCTCCTTTTCCTCCTCCTCCTCCTCCTCCTCCTCCTCCTCCTCATCCACCACCTCCCCCTCCTCCTCCTCCTCCTCCTCCTCCTCCTCCTCCTCCTCCTCCTCCCGCCGTCGTCGCCCTCGTCCTCTCCCTTCTCTTGCTCATCTTGCTCCCGCTGAGCAAGCCTAGCTTTTTGATCTGCTGACGTGTGATGCTCCGGTGATGGGAGGGACGCCGTCCTCGCCCACTGCCCCTGTATGCTGGCCCGCCGCTGTCCGTTCCCCTTCGGGCGAGTCTTTTCCTGCTCCTCCTGCTCCTCCTCTCTCCTCTTCCCCCTTCTTCCCCGTAGCTATTTTGGCTCGGTGCTTCATGCACGGGGGGCGCCTCGCGCCGTCGTGCCGCAGCGGACGCCGCTGGTTCGCGGCAGCTCTCCGAGAACCTCCTCATCCGGGAGCCCGGACGCGATTCACAGCGAGCTCTCAGCGCTCGGCGCTGCCATGTCTCCTGCCTTCTCTTTGTGTCCTCTCTTTCCATTGCCCCCCTCTGCTCCCTGCCCCCACTCCTCTCGTGGGCGAAGAAGAGACAACAGCAACCGCTGTGCCGAGGGAATCGCCACTGCCGCCCACCCCCAGGCCGACCTCGACCAACCAGCGGCGATGACCTGCGCGCGGCACTCGGAGTCGGGCGCCGCGCGCAGGTCACCTCCGCTATGGGGGGGCGTCGGGGTCGGTCTTGGCGCGGCGCCAGGGGCTGCGGATGCCTCTTCTGCGCCCCCCCTCCTCCCTGTCTTTTGATGCAGTCCAGGTGGCATTCGCATCTTGAGTGGCGGAACTGTGGGCGCGAGGGCCGTACATACAAACACACCGCTAAGGAGAGAGAGAGAGAGAGAGAGAGAGATAGAGAGCGAGATAAACGAGCATCAACGAGCTGCCATGCCGAGCTGCCTCGAGCGCCTGCGCCCAGGACGGGGCCGCCCGGCTGCCTCCCCAGGCGCGTCCCTGGCGTGGAGGCCGTCGGGCCGCGTGGCGGGTGGCCTTGTGGTCTGGGACTGGGTCCAACGCCCAGCCTGGAAGCTGCGGCGTATGGCCGTGCTTGTGGAGGAGTTCTTGCGTATTCCGCGGGCCCAGCCGCGTGCGGCGCCCGCACCTGCTGCTGTAGGCGCAGCCCCAACAGGGGTGCTGAGATGGCAGGGGTCTGGATTGGGATATGGATGGGGATAGGGGTCGGTTAAACGATACTGACATATGTCCATATCCACCGCTCGTTGGGGCCCCAGCCAGTGGATATGGATAAGTCCCCGCCTCGCAACGATGTGAAACCTACATCGGTCGGCTTGCGTGACGGGCAGGGTGTCAACACTGCTCGGGGTGACGCTCAGTTGTTGGGGGTGCAGCGCGGCCCCTCGTAGACCACCAACTACTCCAAATTCCCTTCCTCCTCCTCTTCCTCCTCCTCGTCCTCCTCCTCCTCCTCCTCCTCGTGCTCCTCCTCCCTCGCCCTTCGGGCGCTCTGCGCGCCCGCGCCCGCCCGCCGATGTCGTGCCGCCGCCGGCCGGCGTGGGCGGCGTCGCCGCTTTTGGCGGCCGTGGCGCTGCTGAGCCGCGGGCGCGCGGCCACGGAGCGGGGCGCCGTCGATCCGCGCGGGGCCCAGGGGGCGGATCGGCTGATCGGCCGATTCGAGCCCGCCTCCTCCTTTTCTCCTCCAGGCTCCTCCCCTTCTCCTCCTCCTCCTCGGCCTCCTCCTCCTCCTCCTCCTCCTCCTCCTCTTCTTCCTCCTCCGCTTTCTCCTCCTCCGCTCCCTCTTCCTTATCCTGCGCTTCCTGCCTCCTCCTGCCTGCATACGCTGTGCAGACTTTGGCGACGGAGCCGTAGCGTCATTCCTCCTCCTCCTCCTCCTCCTCCTCTTCCTCCTCCTCCTCCTGCTTCTCCTTTTCCTTCTCCTTCTCCTTCTCCTTCTCCTTCTCCTTCTCATTTCCTCTTCCTCCTCCTTCTCCTTCTGCCTCCTGCTTCCTTCTCTTCCCTCTCCTTCCTCCTGCCTCCCGCCTTGTGCCTTCTGCCTGATCGTCCCCCAGCTCCTGGCGTCGTGCGAAAAATCACGATGGGAGATTGTTAGCCATTTTCGGCCTCGGGGGGCCGTCGCCAGGTTCCTGGACTGTCAAACATCGGCTCGGGATGGAAAGCTGGTCTGGGGGAAGGGGTCGGGACCTTCGGGTTTTCTCCACCTCAAGGGATGAGGAGATGCCGCTACCATTGCCCGTTCCTCGCCGCCACGGCTGGACTCGCCCTGGAGTCCTGGTCAGAGAACGCACTCGAAGATGCCCAGGGATCAACGGCATCGATATCTTTTGCTCCCCCAGGTGAGCTGATTGCGCCCTCCTCATCCTGCTGCCTTCTGCTCCTCCACTGCCTGCCCCCCTGCCCAGGCATCTGACGTCGTGATTTTTGCCGAAATGTGGCTCCACAGAGGTCTGGACCTCTTCCCTGGGACCAGTTTTTCACCCAGGGCCTCGCGAGGGCCCCAGGAGGCTGACAATAGCAAACACCATCCGTTGCATTTTTCACTGCATTTTGTTGTGTGTTTGTGAGTTTGTGTTTTGCTCTGTTGTCTTCCCCACGACACGATGATGCAAGGGCCCCTCCCTCTTCCTCCTGCCGCTGTCGCCGCCCGGACTGCCTGGAGGGCTGTCTGTGCGCGGCCCGAACGAACCCTTACCATCCTCGAGCCCCGATCCAAGGCAGGAGGGGAACTGGTGGCTCCATCTCGACATCCTGGTCTCGAACCTGGACTGCAGCGGGCTGGACGCGTCTCAGAGGCACAGGTCACGTGCGGACAACCGGCCCTTGGCATTAGCACCCCCCCACGAAGCCGATATTCCCAAACTGCAAATCTCCGGTTTCAAGCTGCAACTATCGAGATTCAAGCTGCAAGTCTCGAGACTCAAGTTTCAGAGGGGCTGATCATCGGGCGCACGATGTTGGACGGGGACTCCCTTTCGAACGGGGGCCTCAACAGGCTCCAACAGCTTGCGCCAGAACTTCTGACGCGTGCCAAGAAGAGGCGAGGCTCGAGTCTGGCCCCTCTGTACCCTCAGATCCGACGTCAACAACACAATGCAAAATTGTTGGGCAACTCGACAGGAGCCCCGTCTTGCTGCTGCATTTTCCGAGCCGGATCGATCCGTGACGGTCCGGGGGCCCGAAACAGTGCGGAGTCGCCTGTTGCGGAAAACATGCGACGCCAGGATTTCAGGATCTCTCAGGGCGCCGTGCTTTTCTCACAACGCGGATTCGGAGGTCCCGACCCCGTCGCCTGGAGCGGTTTTTCCTCCTGTCGTCTTGACGGTCCAGGGGCCCCCTGGGCCCCTAGAGGCCGAGAAGTCGCAAAGCCTTTCGTCGTGACTTCTTCACGATGCGACGGCGAGGACGCCAGGAGGGAAAACGGCAGAAGCACACAGAAAGGTTTGGAGAATGGAGGGGGAGAGGGAAACCCAGGAGATACGTAAAAGATGTGGGTTATCCAGGAAGTTATGTACAGCCGGACCGAGGTATAAGATCGAGGTCGTTTCGGGGAGGATACCCTACTAATCTTCGTGTTTGTTGGATGTTCTTGGGCATCCTGAGGGAGGGTACCCTCGAACGCTCTTCATTCTGGCCGGCGGAGGGTCTCATGTTCCTGAAGCATGTTCTTCTGTCCTGGGTCCGACTGTAGTCTTGTTGTTGTCTCCCCGGGCCCTTTGGCAGCTGCTCGTCCGCCAGCAGGTCTTCCGGGGCGGTGGCGGGCGCGCTGGTGGCGCTCTGCGGCGTGGACCTCCACGTCATGAGCCTGGAGGCGGCCGCGGACACCGTCAGCGTGGGCGCTGCCGCCGCCTGCTCGTGGTCCCCGTCGCACTGGCAGGCCTCCTGCCCACCTCCGCCCCGCCTCCTCGCGTCCCGTGAAGAAAAGCCACGACGGCATGTTTTTGGCCACTTTCGGCCTCCAGGGGCCGTCGGCCAGGCCCCAGGGCCGGCCAAGAACGGCGCGGGATGAAGATCTGGTCCGGGGCAAGGGATCGGGATCTTCGGGGGTCCACGTTGTGAAGAAATCGCGACGTTGGAGTTCTGGGTCTTCCTCGTGGTCCCCGTCGCATTGGAAGGCCTCTGGGGGCTGCATGGTGAACGCGGTCATCTCGAAGGAGGAAAACAAGATCAGCACCATTTTTCGGACGCCCGCGTGGGTTTCTTGGATCGGCGCTGGGCCCCCTGGCGGCGCCTCAGGCGCCGCCTCTGGCGCGCCCCGCGCGCCAGGGAGGAGGGTCCAGCGCTGGCACGAGAAATCCGCGCGGACCTCCGAATGTTTGTGTTGGTGCTGCTTTTCCTCCCTCTATCGTCTCCGTGCCGGCCCACTCGGCTTCCTTCATCGAGCACGCGGTCCGCTCCGAGCAGTTCCAGACCATGCTCGCGAGCATCTTCGAGGCCGAGGCGCTAGAGGTGGCGGACGTCGCCCTGGTGCCGCTGACGCCAGAGGATGACGACTGCGGCGGCGGCGGCGCCCTCGAGGCCTCCGGGGGGGACGCTGAGGAGGACGAGGCCGGAGGGTACCAACCATACTTCTACACCCATTTCGGCCAGGCCCGCCCTGGGCCCAGGGTCGGTGAGTGTGTGTGTGTGTGTGTGTGTGTGTGCGTCGTGCCCACCGCGCCTGGGCTTGGGATGCGCCCAGCCAGGGCCCGTGCGTGGACGCACACAGTCCCAGATATCCGACGTCGTGATTGTTTCGCAGCGCGGATCCCCAGAGGTCTGGACCCCTTCCCTCGGGCTTGCTTTTCATCTTGCGTCGTTCCTTGACGATCCTGAGACCTGGCGAGGGCCCCCCGAGGCTGAAAATTGTGACAAAAACGTCCGCCGCGAATTGTCCACGACGCGAGGATGTCAGAGACCGCGAGGGTTGCTCCGGGGTAGGGAGGTTAGAAGTGGATGCTCAGATGGGCTGTATCTGGCCTGACCTAGCTTGTAAGCGGGTTGCTTGCATGTGCCCTGAGTAGTTTAGGAAGGGGGTTCCGCCCACTTAGTCCAGACCTGTGCCCTCCCTGAGCCATGTGGGGCACATGTAGCCCACCTGTAAGCCCTATATCCCCTTAGCACCCACCCCCGGGGGACATCTTAGTACCTGCTGCGAGCGAGGAGGGGATGTGAGAAGGAGAAGGCCTTCCCAGCAGGCGGCGGGGCTTCTCAGAAGCCCTCGCGCCTTCTGAATGGTTTTCAGTGTCTCCGAAGGGAGGAAAGCCGAGAGAACCTCTGAGAAGGCCGGGGGACTCCGGAGCCTTCGGAGAAGCCTGATGAGATCCGGCGCTGCGAAAAAATGACAACATCGCGCAACATCACGACCAGACTCCCCTGACCCAATCTTTCCGCGCCCTTTGTCGAGCCGGCTCGATCTGTGAGGGCCCCGGGGCCCGAAGCTGAGCGACGACGCCCTGCTCGAAAAAGTCGAGTCGCCAGGATGCGTTATCGCAGGGAAGGTCCGCCCCTGCTCGCTTCCCCCCCCCCCCTGAGCTCGCCGCCGACCGAACAGTGGAGACCCATGCCAACAAACCCCCTGCTCGCCTCCAGGGTGCCCTGGGTCTCCTGGGTTTCGAAGCTTTTGCAAAATGGAAAGCGTGACGTCCCCACGCCAAAAGTCGATATGGGCTCCCTGGGGCCTCAGGGCTGGGTTCCTTGTGGGAGGTTTCTCTGGCCACGCGCAGAAGGGGGTAGGTGGAGGGGGGAAGGCTTCTTAGAAGCACCCCTGTTTCTTAGAAGGCGCGGGCCTTCTTTGCAGATGGAAGGCCGGCGCCTTCTAAGAAGCAGCCTCCTTCTAAGAAGCCTTCCCCCCTCCCCCTACCCCCTTGTGCGCGCCGCCAATTTCTTGTGGTCGGGCCCCTGCTGCAGGCGCGCTTCGTGCTGGCGCCCGCGTGCTCCACCGGGCGCTCCCCGGGCGCTCCGGGGCCCGCGCTCGCCCCCGCGGGCGAGGCGGCGGGCCGCGTGGTCTGCTGCGCCCAGGACGGCGCGGGCAGCAGCCGCTCGTCCGGGGGGCTCTGCCTCTCCACAGGCGCCAGCAGCCCGGTGACGTACTGGGTCGCGGAGGGCATCTGCTCGGGAGCGTGGGTGGCTCGTCGTCGTCTCTAGGGGGCCACATGCGAACCCTACCCCTACCCCCCACGATTTCTGAGGGGGGGAGGTGGGGTTCACTTCGCTCGGGAGCTCCCGAACGAAGTGAACCCCACCCTCCCTCTCAGAAATCGTGGGGGGTAGGGGTAGGGTTCGCATGTGGCCCCCTGTCGTCGTCGTCTCGCCTCCCCGCGGTCTCGCCGCCTCGTATATGGCCTCGTCGCCTCGCCTCCCCTCGTGGTCCTCCCGCCTCCTCCCCGCGGTCTGGATCCTCGTCGCCTTCCTCCTCCTGCTTCGCTGCCCCTTCCTCTCTGCACTGCGACGTGGCCCGGCAGCGCGCAGGCGGCCGGGAACGGCCGGCAGAGGTTCGTTCTCCCCTCCCCCCCGCGGGGTCTGCACGTGCAGCCTGCGATCCTGGCGTCGCAGTTTTTGCCCAAGGGGCGGTTTTGGCTCATGCTTCGGGCCCCGGGGCCCCCATGGGTCGATCCAGCTCGGAAAACGCCGCGGCGAGGTGAGGCCCAGGGCTCCGGGCGAGTTGCGTGACGAAGTGGCAGTCGTCGCGTGACGTCGGATCTCCGGGTGCACGTATATGGGTGGCCCTTCGCCAGGGTGGCCTTTGCTGCGGGCCATCGCTGGGGTCCCCCGATCGCCGAGCGCGGTGCGACCTCAGACGTCCTCTCCTGGCGAAGAACTTCAAGGCGGAGGGTTCCTGTCGATCTTCGGCCTCTGGGGGTCCCCGCCGGGCCCCGGGACCGTCAGAGAACGACTCAGGTGGGAAAGCTGGCCCCAGGAACGGATCCTTAATCATAGGCCCTCTGTGCAGGGAGCCACGCGGCGCCGAAATGAAGACAGGTCGCCGGGTGTCTGAGGCTGGGGTCGCCGGGTCGCCGGGCGCCATGCGACGGCGGCGGCCTGCGCGCCCGGCCTGAAGGCCCCCCTGGAAGCCGCGCGCCAGAGGCCACCTCCTGCCCGGGGCCGCTCCTGTTTCAGGAGGGGGGAAAAAGCACACAGACACGATGAATCGCCGAATCCCCTAGAAAGTATGGGAACATATGGGGAGTGGGGGGGAGGACAAAAACACGGAAAAGATACGAAAAGAGGGGGAGTATTTTTATTTGTGTGTCTTTGTTTGTGTGTCTTTGTTTGTGTGTATTTGTTTGTGTTTTGTGTGTGTGTATTTGTTTGTCTTGTTTGTTATGTGTTTGTATTTATTTGCATTGTTGCGCGTGCGGCCGAGGAGCCGGCCTGCGGCTCTGCGACACGCGGGCGGAGCTCGACGGGAGCTGCGGGCCGGAGTGCGGGCTGGACGGGGCGCTGGTCTGGACGAGCGAGCGGCGCCTCGGGGGGAAGAACCCCTAGGGGGCCGCATGCGAACCCTACCCTTACCACGATTTCTGAGGGGGAGGGTGGGGTGAAGTGAACCCCAAGCGATAGCTCCCACGCGAAGTGAACCCCACCCTCCCCCTTAGAAATCGTGGGGGGTAGGGGTAGGGTTCGCATGCGGTCCCCTGACCCAGACCCCTAGCACCTAACCCAGACCCCCAACCCAGACCCCCTCGATCTGGGCGACCCAAAAGGGGGTCCAGTTGCAAGGGGGTGGTGCAACAGATTTTGGGCAATTGTATTGCAAACGTACTGCGCCAGAGAATTGGATTGCGTTGTACTGCAACTAAGGTATTGCACGCGAAAATCCAGCAATACATTTGCGCCCCGGAATGTATTGCACGCCCCAAATGTATTGCAACCCCACAAATCTATTGCACCAAATCTATTGCACCCCCCCCTTGTCGCTGGACCCCCTGTTGGGTCAACTCGAGGGAAGAACCCAGACCCCCTCGAGTCATGAAAGAATCACGGACCACCATTTTCGGCCATCGGGGGCCTCTGACCGGGCCTCGGGGCCATCAAACAACGACTCAGGATGAAAAGCCGGTCATGGGGAATGGGTCGGGACTTGTGGGCGTCGACGTCATGACAAAATTCATAACGTCGAGGGTCTGGGACGAGACATTGGGCTTCTACCCTCTGGCGCGCAGCGGTCGTTGCCGGGGCCAAGCCCCTCCCCGTCCTCTCCGGGTGACGGCAACGATGGAAAGCGGCTGGGGGGCCTGGCCCCCCCCCACCTGGTGGCGCTCGCGCGCATACTTTGGCGATCGCAGCGCACCGCCGCCCAGGCGTGCCCCACCCAGCCCGAGCGTGATCGTTGCCCGGGGCCCCAACCCTCCCCCCCCCCCCCCGGGGTAGCTATTCCGTTACAGACATGAGAAACACAATTTTCGGAGATGCCGATGCCGCTGCTCGTCCTGGAGTGCCCTCGCCGCCGCGGCTGACCCCTCCTCGAAATCTTGGTCAGAGTACACCCTGGGAGAGGTCCTGGGAGCACTCTGAGATCCGTCGTCGCGAAAGGTTGCACATGCATCAAAAAACTCGCCCGGAGTCCTGGACCCCATCGTTTTGTGGAGTTTTGCGAGCCGGGTCGATCCGTGAGGGTCCCGTGGCCCGAAACAGGGCAACATCGCTTGTTGTGGAACAAAAGCGTCGCCAGGATCTCGTGGGATTCTTTTCCAAATTGCGGTGGAAAGGCACCCTGGGAGAGGTCCGGGGAGTAGCGGTATTGGTACCTTCAGGGCTCCCACAGCGGGGACGCTGATCAACCGGGACATTCGCCTGCCAGAGACAGTCTTCTTTCCCTCCCGGCGGAATTCACAAAGTCCTGTTTTGCAGCGTTCTGGTTTGGGGGGTCCCGAGACTTTTCTGTCTGCCCAGGCACCTGGACGGCTGGGGCGGGGCCTTCAGCCTGAGCCTGGCCTCCGCGGAGGCGGCACACTTTCGGTGGCCGCTCGCCTGCGTGCTGGTCGCGCTGCTGGCGTGCGGCTGCGCGTGCGGCTGCGGCCCGTGCCGGCGGAATTCGAAGCCTCGCGACGCGGAGCAGGGCGCCTTCCTCGGAGAGCGAGAGCAGTGCTTCTAGTCGCGGGAGGGCAGTGCTGGGACGTCGAGGGCATTTGCTCGGGAGCGCGGGCTGCGCGTGCACCCTGCGATCCTGGCGTCGCATTTGTGGCGCGACGGGCGTCTTTGTTGGCCCTGCTTCGGGCCCCGGGGCCCTCGCGGCTCGACCAGGCTCGAGAAGTGCAGCAGCAAGATGGGGTCCAGGGCTCTGGGCGAGATTTTTCGACGGAGTTGAAATGTCTTCGTGGCGAGGGATCTCAGGGTTCACCGGGAGAGCGAAGAGGCCAGACTTGGCGTGTACAGTGCTCCTAGACCCGGTAACCCGGTCGCTAGTGGCAGCGTGGCCTCTGAGAGCAGAATGCACGAGTGCCGCGTCCAAGGTGTCGCGGTCCTGAGTCGTACTGGAGCGGCCTTCAGGCAACAAATGAAAGCTCCGTCTCTGCTCCTGCTCTCCCTCGTGCCTCCTTCCTCCCCTTCTGCACACAAGCTTTTCAAAATGAGTGCCGTTGAGGCGGATCGACGTGGGTAGGCCGGCTTTCCAGACCCACGACGTCGTGCTGCTTCCCCAAACAGTGCTCGCATTTAGGGGTTCTTGTTTGTTCTCTAAGGAACTGTGCTCGTTTGTCGGGTCTGCCGCCTTGTTGCCGCCGTCGCCGCCCCGTCGCCTCCACGTCGCCGCCCGTCGTCAGGGCTCGTTTGTCGGGTCTGCCGCTTTGTTGCCGCCGTCGCCGCCTCGTCGCCACCTCATCGCGCCCGTCGTCTGCGCTCGTTTGTCGGGTCTGCCGCCTTATTCTCGACCGCATAGATTGCACCACAGAGATTTTACCACATATATTGCACAACGGATTTGCACAACGTAGAATGCACAACATAGATAGCACAACACATATTGCACCACCTAGATTGCACAACGTAGTTTGCTCCATATAGATTGCACCACATCGACTGCACAACATCGATTGCACCAGATAAGTTGCACCACAGGTATTGCACATCGCATGTGCTGCTCCACTTTGATTGCGCCAGACAGACTGCATGACATAGTCTGCACAGCACAGATGGCACAACATATATTCCGCCACATTGCATCACATGGAGTGCACCATGTGTATTGTATCACATCGATGACTCCACATCGACTGCGCAGCATATATTGCACAACGTAGCGTGCTTCACATCTATCGCGCTACGCATATTGCACAACAGAGTTTACACAACAAAGCTTGCACCACATAGCTTGCACAGCGTAGCTTGATGTACATAGTTTGCACCATATACTACTCGACATCGACTGCATCACGTAGATTGCGCCACACAGGTTGCACCACATAGATTCTCCTTTCTAAAAGCAGAATAGGATCTACCCCCCCCGGCGTTATCACTCCCCTTTCGGGTATGTAAATCATATATGATTCTGACCACATGTCCATCCTAAATATGAATTTACACTATCCCCAGGGGGCCGGTATCCCCCCCCCGAGGTTCCCTTGTCATGGTGACATTTTTTGTTCTAACATAGCACTTTTTCGCGAATCCCTTGCAAACAATAGGACGAAGTGCACACGCGCGCGTCGTCGCGCGCGCATGCCGAAATCCTTCAAAAACCTTCGGTGCCGGAAGGATTTCGCAATCGAGTTTCCAAAAAACATACAAAAACACAGGGTTTCGCAACATGGATTTGCTAAAAAAGCTTCCGCGCGAGCTCTTGCGAAATCTTAAGGAAACCCTAGTTTTTTTCAAGATTTTCACAACATGCTATTAAACCAGCTTCGCAAGCGCGCATGTCAAAATCTGTCGAACGCCCTTGCGCGTGTGCCGTCGCGAGAATCCTCTGCAAAAAATGGGACGAAGTGCAGTCGCGCGCGTCGTCGCGCGCGTATGCCGAAAACCTTCAAAACCCATCGGTTCCGGAAGGATTTCAAAATCGTGTGTCCAAAAAACCTATAAAAAGCACAAGGTTTCGCACCACGGATTTTCACCAAAAGCGTGCGCGCGCGCTCTTGCGTCGTCGTCGTCATCGTCGTCGTCGTCACCGTCCTCCCTCCTCCCGCGTCGTCGTCGTCGTCGCCTACGTCGTCCTCTGTCTTTCCTCGTGTTCGTCGTCATCGTCCTCTTTGGCGTCGTGGTCGTTTCCGTTGTTGTTGTTGCCGTGGTCGTCCTTCCTCCTCCTCCCTCGTCGTCGTCGTCGTCCGTCGTCGGCGTCTCGTCGTCGTCCCTCCTATTTCGTCGCCGTCGTCGTCGTCGTCGTCGTCGTCGGCGTCGTCGTCTTCCCTCCACCCTTGTCGTCGTCGTCGTCGGCGTCGCCGTCCTTCCTCCTTCTTCGTCGTTCGCGTCGTCGCCGTCCTCCCTCTTCCCTCGTCGTTGTCGTCGTTGTCGTCGTTGTCGCCGTCGTCGTCCTTCCTCCTCCCTCGTCGCCTTCGTTGGCGTCGTCGTCGTCGTCGTCTTCGTCGTCGTCGGCGTCGTTGTCGTCGTCGAAGTCGTCGGAGACGTCGTCGGTGTCGTCGTAGTCGTTGTCGTCGGTGTCCTTGTAGTCGGTCTTAAGAGGTTGTGCAAGCCAAGTTGCGAATGGGTGGGTGGGATGTTTGCGCGAGCAGTGGAGATAACGACTTCAAGTTCAGCAGAGTGGATTGCACCACATAGATTTCACAACAAATATTGCTTGAAACACACTGCTTGGGGTCCACGCTTGCTACGCTTTCTCAACGCTGACCCCTGGAGGTCTCGGCCTATTCCCCTGGACTGGTTCTTCATCCAGGGTCGTTTTTTGACGGTGCTGGGTCCCGGCGAGGGCCCCCAGGCCCCCAGAGACAGAGAATTGCAACAATCTGTCCGCCTTGAGTCTTCACGACGCGAGGAGGTCAGGGCCTCCCCTCCCTTGTGGCCTTCGGGTCATAACTTGGGTCTCGGGCGGCCCTTCGGGACGATTCGGGGACCCCTGGAACGCTCTCGGCGAGACGCAGCTGCTGGAGAGCATCCCGAGGCTGGAGAACCGCAGTGAACCGTTGAAAACGCTTGAAAACTTTGGAAGGAGGAGCCCGAGGGCCCCCTGCCCCCCCCACCCCCTCCCCTCCTCCCCTCGGGAGGAGAAGCGGGGAACCTCCCCGCCTCCCCCCTCAGGAGCGGGAGGGCCCTTCGGAGGCCAGATGCGGCCCCCTTCGTGGGAGGCCGCCCGCCGACGCGCGTCCCTCGGGCAGTGCTGAGGGGGGGCGCTCTCAGGAGGGGGGGGTTCACCAACGCCTCCTGGAGGTCGAGGCTGCGGGACCGAAGCCTCGAGATCCCGCCGGAAGGTTTCTCTGCGCATTTTTGGCCTCCGGGGCCCCGCACAGGGCCCCGGGGCCCCCAGGCACGGCGGAGGATGAAAACCTGGTCCCGGGGAGGGGTCCAGACCTCTGGGGAGCCACGCGGTGAGCAAATCACGACGTCGGATGTCTGGGAAGCTCGAGGAGGTCTTCGGACGTCTGGGGGGGGGGGGGCCGTTTGGGAAGGCTCTGGAGGGCTCTTCCGGGGCCCACTTGCCGAAGAGAGTCGCGTTTCCTCGAGGAGTCTGCTCGAGTGCGTAGGGTCGGCGTCGTCCCGGCATACTTCTACTATTGGTGCGTCTCCCCCCCATGGGCGACGCGCGCAACGAGAACTCTTATCGTATCTGTGTGGTGGCGGGCGCTTTCTGGCCACCCCGCCCGGGAGAGGGTATATACTGCAGGACGGTTATACCATATATGTTCGGGTCCGACGCGCGCCTCCAAGGAGGACATCTAGTACCAGTCTGTCTCTGTGCGCCCATATGGGGCGTGACCAGGGGTGCTTCCACAGGCTTGCAGCGCGAGGGTGCGTGCGCCCCGCGTGCTGCAGCCCGCCCCGGTGCCCGCCGCCGCCGCCGTGGCCCGCCCGCCGTCGTGGCCCTCGGCTCTGGCGCCGTGGGGTGCCTCCGCTTGGCGGGCGAGCGGGGAGCGCGCCGCCACTCGTCGTCGTCGTCGTCTTCGTCGTCGCCGCCGTCGCCGCCACTCGTCGTCGTCGTCGTCGTCGTCGTCGTCGTCGTCGTCGTCGTCGTCGTCGTCGTCGGGATCGTCGTCGGCGGCGGCGGCGTCGCCGTCGTGGTGGCGGCGGCGGCATGGGCCGCCACGAGTGCGCGCGGTGCGGCCCGCGTGCGCGCTCGCCTGGCCGCGAGGGGCTGCGGCGGCCTGCTCGGCAGCCCGCGCGGAGGGCAACCGGGCGTACGCCGCGGGGGACCTCGAGGCCGCCGGCCTCAGGCGCTGCGCGCGCGGCGTTTTTTTGTTGTTGTTGTTGTTGTTGTTGTTGTTGTTGTTGTTGTTGTTGTTGTTGTTGTTGTTGTTGTTGTTGTTGTTGTTGTTGTTGTTGTTGTTGTTGTTGTTGAACATTATTAATTCTAAAGAATAATTATTGTTGGGCCCCTGGTGCACGGCCCCCCTGCGCCGCCTAGGCCGCAGCTACATTTTCATCATTTTCGTGAGGAAGCCTCAGGTAATTCGATGTGATCAAGATCCGGTTGTTTTGTTGTAATCCGCTTTCCCTTGCAAAAAACACTATAAAATGACATTTCTTGTTCTAATATAATCAAATTTCAAGAATCCCTTGCAAAAAATAAGGTAAAGTGGACATTCGCGCGCGCAAGACGAAATCCTTCCAAAAGCTTAGTGTTCGGAGCGATTTTAACATAAAAACATCAAAAAACCAATGGTTTTTCAACAAAAAAATGTCAAAATCTCATCCCGCGCGCTCTTGCGGATTCGTAGGAAACCCAACACTTTTTAAACATTTCTGTCAAACGGGCTTTTGCGAGCAACTTTTTCGAACTTCTGCGACAACGGTTGCGCACCTGCCAGGGCCATCATCCCTGTCAAATAATACCATGCGGGACACATTCGTTTTTTGCGCGCTATTGTATGGCACAATTGCACCATGCTGGGCACATGCGCGCCCCGAATAAGTGACCAAGTTCTGTGGGTGTGTACCCCACGCCAGTGTAGTAGCCACGGTCGTCCGCACGCCACGAAGTGAAGTGTCCCAACGTCATAGGGCGGGAAGCTGGGTTTGGGTGGTCGCGAAGAGTCGTTTGGATATTTGGTAGAGCTTGTAATGCCCCCCCACGAAGTGGGGGTATTGCCTGGTGTCGTATGAAAACCCTGGCACTGGGGAGAACACCACGCGTTCGGGTAAAATGATTGTTGTTGTTGTTGTTGTTGTTGCTGCTGCTGCTGCTGCTGTGCTGTTGTTGTTGTTGTTGAACATATTAATTCTAAAGAATAATTATTGTTGGGACCCCTGGTGCACGGCCCCCCTGCGCCGCCTAGGCCGCAGCTACATTTTCATCATTTTCGTGAGGAAGCCTCAGGTAATACGATGTCATCAAGATCCGGTTGTTTTGTTGTAATCCGTTTTCCCTTGCAAAAAACACTATAAAATGACATTTCTTGTTCTAATATAATCAAATTTCAAGAATCCCTTGCAAAAAATAAGGTAAAGTGGACATTCGCGCGCGCAAGACGAAATCCTTCCAAAAGCTTAGTGTTCGCAGCGATTTTAACATAAAAACATCAAAAAACCAATGGTTTTTCAACAAAAAAATGTCAAAATCTCATCCCGCGCGCTCTTGCGGATTCGTAGGAAACCCAACACTTTTTAAACATTTCTGTCAAACGGGCTTTTGCGAGCAACTTTTTCGAACTTCTGCGACAACGGTTGCGCACCTGCCAGGGCCATCATCCCTGTCAAATAATACCATGCGGGACACATTCGTTTTTTCTTCGCGCGCGCACGCCGAAATCTCCAAAAACCATTGGGTTCTTAAGAATTTTAGCACCGCGCATCATAAAATCACACGAATCGCACCGTAGGTCCTCGAAAAACACCTGCACGACTTTTCAAAATTTCCACCCGCGCGCGCTGTCCGAATCCTAAAAAACCAATGGTTTTCCAACATGTATGTTCCAAGTTCTGTGGGTGTGTACCCCACGCCAGTGTAGTAGCCACGGTCGTCCGCACGCCACGAAGTGAAGTGTCCCAACGTCATAGGGCGGGAAGCTGGGTTTGGGTGGTCGCGAAGAGTCGTTTGGATATTTGGTAGAGCTTGTAATGCCCCCCCACGAAGTGGGGGTATTGCCTGGTGTCGTATGAAAACCCTGGCACTGGGGAGAACACCACGCGTTCGGGTAAAATGATTGTTGTTGTTGTTGTTGTTGTTGTTGTTGTTGAGCTCTCATTACTAAAGCACAGTTATTGTTGATCCCCCTCCGGTATAACATATTTGTTTTTTCAACTCTTGTGCCCCCTTCCCAGGACTCGCACCCTGTTTTTATCAGAAAAAGTGTTCCTCTTCGAACTGTGCCCCTGGCCCCCGGTTTACAACAGCAGCAGCTACCGCTTGATATTTCTTTGCAATTTACTAAGGAATCGCGCTCTCGCTCGGGACTTCCTTGCAATTCATCAAAGAATCGCGCTCTGGCCTGATACTTCCTAGTAGTTTACTCAGGCGCCACGCCCTCGCCATTCAGGAATCGCGCTCTCTCTGGGGAATGTCTCATAATTTACTTAGGAATCGCGCTCTCGCCCGAGACCTCTTGGCGAAGTATGCAGGACACACGCATTCGCGTAACGTAGATGTTTTTTTCAATTGAAGTGCCCCTCCCGGAGCTCGCTCTTGGGAAGTATTCCTGCTCAAACTGTGCCCCTGGCCCCCGGTTTACAACAACAGCGGCTCCCGCCTGATACGTCCTTGCAATTTATAAAATCGTTTCGCTCATTCCGCCGGCCCATCTTGCGTCATTGGTGCTACATGTTTGTGTGTTCGTGGCGAGCGAAAAGGCGAAGGAGGAGGACGAGGAGGAGGAAGAGGGGGTGATGAGGATGAGAAGGAGGTCTCTGGAGAGCTTTTGTGTCAAGTTGGGGCGAAACTGGTCATGGACAAGGCGCCTCTTTGGGAGTCGCTTGGGGTCTTCTGGGAGGCCTCTCGGGGACCTCTTGGCGGTGCGCTGTCGTTCGAGGATTGAAGGAAGGAGGGGGGAGAAGGGGGAGAATGAAGAAAGACGGAAGGGTTGGTGAAACGTTAGGAGGCCTCTTTTTGTGCCTCTTGGCGGTATGTCTGACACCTCCTGGGGCGGTACGGGGGCCTTTTAGGGGCCTCTTGGGGGTCTCTTGGGACCTCTCGGGGGCCTCTTGGGGGCTTTTTGGGGGCCTCTTGGGGCCTCCAGGGGACCTCGCTGCGCCTGGAGCTCGACATGTCCGTTAGGGTCACTCGTCTGGGCCCGCTCTTGGAGCCGTCTTGGGAGTCTCTTCGGCCATCTTGGAAGCCTTTGGGGCTGTCTTGGGGCTCTCTGGGATCGTTTTGAGTGCTCTTGGGGTCCTCTTTGGCTGGTCTGGGGCGACCCTGGAAGCCTCTTGGGCCGTCTTGGAGCGCCAGTAAGCCTCTCGGGCGAGAGCGCCAAAAACCTTCAAACACTACAGCAAAATCACTAATTTCTGACTCTGTGGGCCCTCTTGGGAGGTCTCTCGGAGGCCTCTGGGGGCGTCTTGCAGGCGCTCTGGGCTTTTTCT